AAATTTCTGTAAAAGGAGGAGAGCTGGAAGGTGGGGGAAGTGACGAGCCGCACCTGCGGCCACGATAGGGACCGATGCCGTTGGGAACGTTTTGAGCCGGAAACAGCAATTTGTCTTGGGTAAGAGGGCAAAGAGGTCCGACCGGCCCCGGACAACCGGACAAGTTTTCGACGCCGTTGGGGTGCTGCGATTCTGTTCTGCGCACCGGCGTCCTTGTCGCGATTTGCCCCCCGACTACGAGAAACTGGACAAAAACACCCACCGCCGCTTCTTCTATCTTCAGCTGCCGCATGGCGGGATCGAGCTGTGTGGGGAGCGGACTGTTGGAGGCGGTGATGGCATGCCCCTGATTTGCGAGTGGCTGATGAATAAAGACACAGACTATATCAAGGCCCATCCCCCCAGCGCTGGGCGCCCCGGGCGGAAATCAGAATCACATTCCACGCAACATAAAGGAGAGGCGGAAACCGTCAAGCTGCACCTGGCGGTGGGTCCCACGGAATTGCCGGTAAGCTGGCGGTGACCGAGGGTACGTTTGCCAGAAACTGCTCCCAGAGCTTTGCCATCTGTTGATGGCATAAGCACACGGAGTGCCAGGGGCTTGGCGGCGACAAAGCCGAGACACCAGAAAGAAATGAATCATCGTACCACCGATCCGGTATATGGGAATGGACCCATTTATAAAACCACCAAGCCCAAAGCAACCGTAGAGAAAAGCGGTACTAATGACCGGGAGCGGTACAATCTCGCGCTCATAACCTGGTGAGAACGGATTCCTGGAATTCAAGCAGTGCAAACTCTTTTGACGACACCCCCTAGTTTCAAATCAACCTTGGACATTGCGAAGGGGATAGAGGTGCAATGAGTTTTAATCCTGCATCCTTGGTGCTGAAGCTCTCAGTTGATGGTGGCCACCCGCCGCGCTCGCGTTTCGGCTTCATAGTCGTTGGGATCTGGACGCTCGTTGCACAGCCGGGTTCGTCGTCGGATTGCAGAGCCCTTGCCGACAGGCGCGGGTCATACACGCTGACTCATCTCGGCCATGTCTCCGACCCAACTGGCGTGTTTGGGTGGTGTGGTGAAAGTCCTCGAGGCGTTTGTTCCGTCGTGCGTACCAGCGTCTTCTCGCTCGGGGCTGGGAAGGTGCTCGTAGACAGCGAGAAAGTCCATGCGGATGTGGTTTTGAGATTGATCGCGGCAACGCGACCACTGGGGCACTGGATAGGCCACATCCACCAGCAACTGCATTTGATGGGCAAGTCCTGCATGGTGCGGCGCTACGTAATACGCCACGTGCGCAGCCCGCCAAAGGCTCACAGGTCAGAACAGGTTGCGTGTGCCGCCGCGATCTCGTAATCCTGCGATACTGTAACGCTGGCGTCGCGGGCGTACCGGCTGGGCGGCAGGGCGGTCGGGTGTCGGCCAACAGTTGGTGGAGGTCTCGTCAAAGCACACGACCGGCGTCAGTGGTCGTAGGTTCGGCATACCGTCCAGCACGTCCTCCATGGCGGCCACGAACTCCCCGCTCACCTTGGGATGCACCACTGCTGCTTCCGCCACGGCTGGAGGATGTTTTTTTGAGCGCAGACGCACCGTCTCGTGCGACAGCGATCTCCACCAACCCCAACTCCACCGCCTGTGTTGGCCAGCAACTGCAAGGTCCAGTGGTCGTGGCCCTCGGGCGCCGCGCTGCACGCCAGGGCAATCAGGTGGGCTTCGCCTCGATCGTCCAGCTTGCGGAAACGGTTGGCCTGGACCCGATCCTGCAACACGCCGTCCAAGCCCTCGTCGGCGTACCGCCGCTTGATGCGGTACACCGTGCCTTCCCCCACCTCCAGGGCCGCCGCTACCTGTGGGGCTTTCCATCCCTCGTCTATCTTGAGCAGGATGCGGGCGCGGGCAACTATCCTGGCCGAACTCTTGCCGCTGCGGATCAGCCGGTTCAGCCCTTTCCGTTCCTCGGTGCTCAACTGTATCGTGTATCGGTTCCCAGCCATGGCTGCTGCACCTCCCCGCAATCCAATGTTGCAGTCAGCATAGCAACTCCATGGCTTATGCCCCAAGTTCTATTAATGCTAGTTTGAGGCAATACTAGCCCATGGGCACGGCGCAGCGAAGCCGCGGCCCGGCTGACGGGCGACCGGCGGCGAGTATAATTGGCGCCAGATTGGATGGATTGGAGGCGGCGCGTTCATGCGTATCACCAACGTAGAGGCAGACATCGTTCGGATCCCATTGAGCACGCGGTTCAGCGGCAGCGTGTACCAGATTGAATCGCGGTGCACCATCGTGACCCGGGTCCACACCGACGAGGGGCTGGTCAGCGAGGTCTATTCCGGGGACGAGCGGACGGGGTATGAGTTGCTGAAGGACCTGGTGGTCGGGCCAATGGCCGAGGCCGTCCAGGGCGAGGACCCGATGGCCATCGAAAGGTGCTGGCAGAGGATGTTCGCGCTGACGCCGCGCATCGGCAACAAGGCCGTCGCCATGCGGGCCATCGCGGCTATCGACGTTGCGCTATGGGACATCACCGGCAAGGCGCTGGGGGTGTCGGTGCGTACCCTCCTGGGCGGCTACGCCCAGCGTTCCCCCGTGGTGCGGTTCGCGTATTACGTCCAGGGACGTGACACGGCGTACATGGTGGAGGATTTGCTGCACCAGCGGGAGCGGGGCATCGGCGGCGTGAAGCTGAAGGTTGGCGGCGTGGCGGTCTCGGACGACCTGCTCCGCGTGCGGGCGATACGGGACACGCTCGGCGACGACTTCATCATCGTGTGCGACGCCAACCAGGCCTGGACGCTGGACGAGGCCCTGGAGTTCGCCGGCTCGGCCCAGGAGATGGGTCTGGCGTGGCTGGAGGAGCCTTGCCGCTGGCAGAACGCGGACAACGACATGCGCCAGGTGCGGCTGCGCACCGGCATACTGGTGGCGGCCGGCCAGGGAGAGAGCAGCTCGTGGGGCGGGCAGCGCCTGATGGACACCGAGGCCGTGGACATCCTGAACATCGACGCGGCGATCTGCGGCGGCATTTCGGAATGGAAGCGCGTGGCCGGCGCCGCGCAGATGCGTGGCATCCAGATGGCCCACCACGAGGAGCCGCAGCTGGCGGTACAACTGCTGCCGGCCCACGCTCACGGCCTGTTCGTAGAGGTGTTCGAGGAGGAACGGGACCCGGTCTACTACCAGCTGAACACCGTGCTCCCAGAGTGGGACCGCGGCGAGATCGTCGCCCCGGAGGAACCCGGCATGGGCCTGCACCTGGATGCGGCGGTGCTGGAGGAGTACAAGGTATATTAGACTGCGAGCGCATGGCCGCAATTCGAGGCAAGGAATCGATTGGGCAACGGGTAGTTTCAGCGTCGATTTATGGGTGGGTGATTTGTTCTCGGATGCGGGAACCACGGTTTCCGCTTTGGTGGACACGGGTGCCACCAACTCCATGCTGCCGTCCGGCTTGTTGCGGCAGTTGGGGATCGAGCCGGTGGAGATCAGGTACGCTCGCGTCGCCGACGGGCGTCGGGTTGAACTGCAAACCGCATGGGCTCGATTCTCCGTTCAAGGGCGCAACGCCGTCGCGCGGGTTGCTTTCGGGCCGGAGGGTCGATACTTGGTGGGCGCTACTACCCTTGAAGACCTGGCATTGGTGGTCGATCCGGTCGATCAACGGTTAATTGAGCAGGAAGATTTGCTGATGTGTTTCGAGGAACAAAAGCCATGGAACTGACAGGTTCAAACGTCGCGGCCGCCGGGCGCAAGATCTACGAGGGTATCCGCAAGGATCTGGAGGCGAACCACTGGGGCAAACTGGTGGTCATCGACATCCACAGCGGCGATTACGAATTGGGGGGAATTCGTCAGCCGGCACAGCGACATGGAAATCACCAGGCGGCTTCGCCAGCGGCAACCGGGCGCCCACACGTGGGCCGAGTTGATTGGTCACCCCGCGCCCTACTACGAAAGACCCGGACGCTCCGGTATGGTCCCCATCATGTCCCAGAGAGAATATCCCAGTGATTAGAGGTATCGTGCGGCCGTCCAGATCCGACAATACCGGTCTGGAGGCGTGGGTGAATATCACCTTGGCCGGCAACCAACGCATATTCCAGACAGTGGAAGCCATCGTGGATACCGGGTACACCGGGTGGTTGACGGCGCCCGAAGCCACCGCCTACAGACTGGGCTTGGAAACCACGGACACCCGTCACGGTACTCTGGCCGACGGGCAAGACCGGGAGACTGAAATTTGTGAGCGGTCGTGCTTTGGCATGAGAGACCCGTGGACATCTGGGTCGACGTGACGGGGGCAGCGCCTCTCATCGGCACCGATATGCTTGCCGGCAGCCGTCTTACAATAGACTGGCGGGACGGCGGCGAGGTTCTCATCGAAGACGGAACGGCGGCGGGTCAGTAACGTCCAACTGGGTCAGCAGGAGTTTTACGATGGTGGATTTGGGTACGATTGAACAGGTCGATTTGCGGGAAGTTTGGCCGCATGAGGCACAGGATTTCACGCCGTGGCTGGCGGAGAACTTGGATAAACTTGGTGAGGCGCTGGGCCTAACGTTGGATCTAAGTCAGCAAGAGGCGCCAGTCGGGGATTTTTCGCTGGACGTGCTGGCACATGACGCCGATGGCAATGGACCAGTTGTCATAGAAAATCAGTTAGGGGCTACAGATCATACACACTTGGGTCAACTGCTGACCTACGCCGCAGGATACGACGCCTATGCGGTGATTTGGCTGGTACGCGAGTTTCGTGAGGAACATCGCCAAGTGTTAGATTGGCTGAACCATCGCACCGGTGAGGGTACCCAGTTTTTTGGCGTCGTGGTAGAGGCTTGGCGTATTGACGGTTCGCGGCCAGCACCGCACTTCAAGTTGGCCGCGATGCCGAACGACTGGCAAAAGCGGATTTCAGGAATAGAACGCCAAACACGCGCCCGCGCGCATTCAGATAGAGAAAAGCAATACACAGCTTATTGGCAAGCTCTCGATGAAACGATGAAAGAGCACAATCACTTTAGAGGAGGCGACGAAACAACGGATCCCTGGGTTTGGTTTGAATCTGAGTTCGAGGGGGTAACGTGGAACACCAGATTCCACAGTGGTCGCGCTTTCGTGGAGTTGTATCTCTGGGCACTCGACATGGGTCGCGAATGGGCAGACCAAGTGTACGAATGGTTGGAAGAGCGTAAGGCGGACATCGAGACCGAACTTGGATACGAGCTGAACTGGGGAACACATTGGCCAGCACGGAATTACCGCATCTCAGCCGAGCACCCCGGCCGTATCACTGACGATGAGGAAACACTCGGCGGACTCCGCGAATGGATGAGGGATCAACTGATTGCGTTCGACGGGACGTTTGCTCCGCTCATACAAGAACTCGTAGATATTGACGCGCAGGCAACCAATGTCCGGGACGATTAGTACCGACGAGCAGGCCCTCGCCCTCGCTCACGAGGCCGGCTGGACCGACGGTCTTCCCATCGTGCCGCCGACGGCGGAGCGGGTGCGCGCGTTCGTGAATGCGTCGGGCCGCTCGGCGCTGGAGTTGGTGGGAGAGATACCGCCGCGCGGCGGGCGGGCCACGGTGGAAAAGCTGGCGGCCAACGCGGTGATGGCCGGATGCTTGCCGGAGTACTTTCCAGTGGTCATCGCGGCGATTGACGCTCTGCTGCTGCCCCGTTTCAACCTGGCGTCCGTGCAATGCTCAACGCATATCGCCACCCCGTTGGTGGTGGTGAACGGGCCGGCTGCCGATGAACTGGGGATGAACTCCGGGGGCAACTGCTTCGGCCAGGGCAACCGGGCCAACGCAACTATCGGCAGGGCAGTGAAGCTGGCGTTGACCAATCTGGGCGGCGCCCTGCCGGGGGATGAGGACCGGGCAACCTTCGGACATCCCGGCAAGTTCACCTACTGCATCGCCGAGAACGAGGCGGAAAACCCCTGGGAACCGTACCATGTGGAACGCGGGTTCCGTGCCGACCAGTCCGTCGTCACCGTGCATCCGGCGGAAGCGCCTCACAACCTGAACAACCACGGGGCGGACAACCCGCGCGACCTGCTGACCACCTTCGCGATGTCCATGGCCATCCCGGGCTGCAACAACATCCACGTCATGGGAGACGTGCTGCTGGTGCTGGGGCCGGAGCACGCCGACATCATCGCCAGCGCCGGGTGGAGCAAGAACGATGTGCGCTCGTACCTGTACGAGCTGGCCCGGCAGCCTCTGGGAGTGCTGAAGCTGGGCGGGATTCACGGCCGTCATGCCCATCGCAACACCCTGTGGCCCCGCTGGATCAACCGGGAGGACGACAATGCCCTGGTGCCGGTGGTGCGGCGACCCGAGGACATCCATATAATGGTGGCCGGCGGAGCGGGCCGGCATTCAGTCTACATTCCAGGCTGGGGTTCGCGGATTACGTCAGCGGCCGTCAGATGAACTTACACACCGGTGAACCTACACAGATGAACAGGATTGACCAGATGAGCACTCAGATCGATTTGCAGTCCAGGATCGCGGCGCTGGGTTTGGTGGACCCGACGGACCGGCAGGAAGAGCCCGAGCGCCGGCCGGCGGCTCCGTTGGAAACGCTGGAGGGTTTGAGGGGAGGCTTCCTGGACAACCGCAAGGGCAACGCCGACACGATCCTGGAGGCGATCCGTCAGCGCCTGGCGGACGGTTACGGGATGACCGACTCCGTGGTGCGGTCCAAGTGGGTGTTCTCAGCCCCCGCGGCCCCTGATATCATCGACGAACTCGCGGAGTGCGACTTCGTGGTGACTGCGGTCGGAGATTGAGGGAGCTGCGTGGCGCGCAGTTTGCGCGATGCGGTGGAACTGGAAGACCGGGGAGTGCGGACGGTGGTGGTGCACACCAGGGCATTTCGGTCGGCGGCCGAGCAGCATATCCTGTCGCTGGGCCGACCCGACTACCTGGGGTCGGTGTACCTCCAGCATCCGGTGGCGGCCCTCGACACTGCGGCCATTGAGTCGCGGGTTGACGCTGTGGCTCCGGAGATCGTGGCGGCGCTGTTGGGACACGACCGCGAAGCCTAGTCCCTTACCCGCCGACGGGGTCCATGTCACCGTTGGCGGTCGAACTTTTCCGGCGGGGTATGCCGCGACGCTAGAGCAACAGCATGGCGTCGCCGAATGAATAGAACCGGTACTCGCGGCGGATCGCTTCTTCGTACGCGGCCAGGATGCGTTCCCGGCCCGCAAAGGCGGATACCAGCATCAGCAGGGTGGACCGTGGCAGGTGGAAGTTGGTGAGCATGGCGTCCACCAACCGGAACCGGTGACCCGGCAGGATGAACAGGTCGGCGTCGCCCGCTGACGCCTGGATCTCCTGCGCTCCCGTTGAGTCAGCATCCCGCGCCACGTGCTCCAGGGTGCGGACGGTGGTGGTTCCGACGGCGATGATGCGGCTGCCGGCCCTCCGCGCCGCGTTGATCGCCGCCGCCGTGTCCTCGGGCATCTCAAACCATTCGGTGTGGATCTTATGCTCGGCGATGTCCTCGCCATGGACCGGCCGAAAGGTATCGAGGCCGACATGGAGGGTGACCCACGCGGTGGTTACTCCGTAGGAGCGAATGCGGTCGAGCAGCGCTTCGGTGAAGTGCAGTCCGGCCGTGGGGGCGGCCACGCTGCCCGGCGCGTCCGCGTAGACGGTCTGGTAACGCTCAGGGTCGTCGGGTGTTTCCTTGATGTAGGGAGGCAGGGGAAGTTCGCCCAGGCCGCCCAGAGCCGATTCGTCGCTGACCCTCACCAGCCGCAGGCCGTTCTCGAGGGCCTCCAGTATCTCAACCTGCGTTGAACGCGACCCGTCGTGCGCTTCGACCGTGACCCGGGCGCCCACCCTGAGCCGGCGGCCGGGGCGTCCCAAAGCCTGCCAGATCCCCGGTTCCTGCCGACGGACCAATAACACCTCGACGCGGGCTCCGGATCGTGTCTCGGTTCCATAAAGGCGGGCCGGTATCACCCGGCTCCGGTTGAAGACCATGAGGTCACCGGGACGCAGGTATTCGGTCAGGTCGCAGAAGCTGCGGTGCTCCAGTTGGCCGCTCGGCTCATCGCGGTCGAGGACCAGGAGGCGCGAGGCATCCCGGGGTTCCGCCGGAGTCTGCGCGATGCGCTCCTCTGGCAGGACGTAGTCAAAATCACCGGTTCGCATCGACGCTGCGGCGGGCAGCCTCTAACGTGTTGCTGAGGAGCACGGCTATCGTCATCGGCCCAATGCCGCCGGGAACCGGAGTGATGGCCTCGGCCTTCGCAGCCACCGCCTCGTAATCGACGTCGCCCACCAGGCGGTAGCCCCGGCGGCGGGTGGCATCATCCACCCGGTTGATGCCCACGTCGATGACCACGGCCCCGTCGCGCACCATGTCGGCGCTGATCGCCCCGGGCACACCCATCGCGGCGACGAGGATGTCGGCCTGCCGGGTGATTTCGGGCAGATCCCGAGTGCGCGTATGGCAGACGGTGACGGTGGCGTTGCCGCCGGCGGAACGTTGCATCAGCAGGGCGGCCAACGGCTTGCCCACGATGTTGCTGCGCCCCACGATCACCACGTGCTGGCCAGCCGGGTCATATCCGGAACGGAGCAGGACCTGCTGAACCCCCGAGGGGGTGCAGGGCAGGAATGCGGGTTCGCCCTGCAGCATTCGGCCCTGGCTGATGGGGTGCAGACCATCCACGTCCTTGACTGGGTTGACCCTCTCGATCACCGTGGCCTCGTCGATATGGCCCGGCAGCGGCAGTTGCACCAGGATGCCGTGGAACCTTGTGTCCTGGTTCAACTGGTCGATCAGGCTCAGGAGGTTAGCCTGGGACACGTGCGCGGGCATGTAGAAAATCTCGGAGAATATGCCGGCTTCCTCACACGCCCGGCCTTTGTTCCGTACATACACGCCGGAAGCCGGGTCATTGCCCACGAGGACGGCGGCCAAACCCGGCGTGGGGCCGCCCGACGCGACAAGGTCTGCCACGCCGGTCGCAACCTCTTCGCGGAGGTCGGCGGCGATTTCGTTACCGTTCAGGACGCGGGCGGGCATCACTATCACGACCGTCAGGACTGCGGAGCCAGCGCTCACTGTTGTCGCGTTGCCGGCGCCAAGTTGAGGAGTACTCAATGATACCATTTGGACGCTATTGCGGCCGGCCGGGCTCGGTTTGCCAAGCGTGTTCCATGGGCCTACAATGCCCGCCATGCGCATAGTTTCTTTGTTGCCCAGCGCCACGGAGATCGTGTTTGCCCTGGGGTTGGGAGATACCCTGGTCGGCGTGTCCCACATGTGCGACTATCCGGCCGCAGCCCGTGGATTGCCCATTGTGAGCCGGAGTGTTCGCAGCAAGTCCCATCTCTCCAGCGCGGAAATCGACACGATCATCCAGCAGGCGAGGACGGCGGGCAATCCCGTATATGTCATCGACGGCGACCTGTTGCGCCGTTTGCAGCCTGACCTGATCCTGACCCAGGAACTCTGCGAGGTGTGCGCGGTTGGCGCGGGGTCGGTGTTTGAAACCGCCGGCAAAGTGCTGGATTATCAGCCGGAAATTTTGAGCATTCGCCCCGCCGGCCTGGACGACATTTACGCCAATATCCAGCGCATCGGCGATGCCGCGGGAGCCACGGGGAGCGCCGAGCATCTGGTCGGTGAGCTTCGGGAGCGCGCCGGCTACGTTGCGGAACGCGCCGGAGACGGCAACCGACCCCGGGTGTTCTGCATCGACTGGCTGGAGCCGCTGCGCAACACGGGCCAGTGGACGCCGGAGTTGGTGGAGTTGGCGGGCGGAGAGGAAGGACTGGCCGAGAAGTGGGGGAAGTCGCGCGAAGTGGAATGGGACGAAGTGGTGGCGTATCAGCCGGATTATGTGATGGTCATGCCGTGTGCGTTCAACATGGACCGGACCATCCTGGAGACGGCGCGACTGGCGGAGCGCGAGGAGTGGAATTCGCTGAACGCGGTGCGGGAAAACCGGGTGTACCTGTTCGACGGCCAGATACCTAGCCGGCACGGCCCCAGGGTGATTGACGTGCTGGAGGGGCTGGCCGAGGCAATGCGGCCGGACCGTTTCCAGGCCTGGCGAGCCCGGGCATTTTCCGGCCGGCGTCGCCGCGAGTTCCGGTAACCGTCACGTAGCCCGGGCCACGCAATCGGCCCGAGCCATTGCCCGAGCCAATTGGGAGGAATGCGTATGGGTTTGTACATGGTTTCGCTGGAACACGCTCCGGAGCGTTGCCCGGGCGTTGACCTCGGAGTGCGCGACCGGATTCTGCGGATGTCGGCGGAGCTGACCGAGACCCTGGCCAGCCGGGGTTGCGAATATCGTGGCGGCTGGGTCGGGAAGTCGTCGCACCACACGTGGTTGGTCCTTGACGGACCCGACGCCCACGCGGTTGATGACGCCGTGATCGATATGGGCCTGGCCACCTGGAATCGCACCGAAATTTTCCCGATCATCACCATGGAAGCAGCCTTTGGAGGGCTGCCCACGGACTGACGACTGCCCAGTCGCCGAGAACCGTCGCTTGAGCGGCAACCTGCAATTGGGCAACGCGCTACAGGAGAACGGCCATGAGCGAAGACATCTACCACCGCCGGCGGCGAATGGTAACCGACCCCGCCGACGTCGGGCGGAACAAGATGGCCCCGGCGCGCCAGGTTGACCTGGGGTCGGTCGGCGATTTCAAGGAACTTCCGGCGCGGGTACGGCTCGAGAACGGCGAGGAACACTGGCTGGCCAGGCCCGGGACGGGCAGTACCGGCTGCTGTCGATGATTTGCCCGCACGCCTTCGGACGAGTCGTGAAGTGGGACAAGAGTTTTCTGTGCCCCGACCACGGCTGGCGCTTTGAAGAAGGGCAGGGAGTGTGCGTGAATGGACCGCGGGCCCAGCTGTTCTACCACGAGGTAAAGGTGGAAAACGGCCGCCTGGTTGCCCAGATACCGGCGGACAACGACCCGGCGGTACCCACGCCCCGCCGCCGGCCTGGGCGGTGCCGAAGTAATCCCGGCGACAAGTCACTCCGCTTTCGCCAAAGTCTTCGCTATCGACAGAGCATTCGCCGTCGATAGCGCACTCGTTGTCGATAAGACACTCGTTTTTCGATAGGACATTCGCATTCGATAGAACATTCATAAGGGTTTACGAAAACGACCTTGACCAATCTCGAGCTGTGGGACAACGAGTTGACTGGAACCATACCAACCGAGCTGGGCAATCTCACCAACCTCAGGACTTTGGACGTCGACGAAAATCAGTTGACCGGGACCATACCGGCGGCAATCGGCAATCTCACCAATCTCAAATTCCTGTGGCTGCCGAACAACCAGTTCAGCGGTGGAATACCGGTCCAGCTGAACAACTTGACCAATCTGCAGCTATTGTCACTGAGCGGCAATCAGTTGACCGGCCACATACCGGCGGCGTTGGGCAGTTTCGCCAATCTGGAATATCTGTACCTTCAGGACAACCAACTGACCGGCGCGATACCCGCCCAGCTGGGCAACATCGCTGGCTTGAAATATCTGTACCTCCATGGCAATCGGCTCACCGGCGCGATACCGGACCAGCTGGGCGGTTTCGCCGATTTGGAGAGGCTGTACCTGCACCGAAACGAGCTCAGCGGCGCAATACCCGCAGAGTTGGGTGACCTCGCCAGCCTGGATTCATGATCCAGGATCAGAATGGGCTGACTGGATCGATCCCCTCGGAGCTGGGCAGCTTGGCCGAGCTGAAGCATTTGAGCGTGAATCGGAACCAGTTCAGCGGGGCGATACCGTCCCACCTGGGCAACCTGGCCGAATTGGAACAACTGCACCTGAATGGCAACCAGTTGACCGGTTCGATACCTGCCGAGTTGACGAATTTGACCAAGCTGGTTCTCCTGTATCTCAGTGATAACCAATTCACCGGGTGCATACCCATGGGATTGGAGGACGTGGCGGACAATGATCTGGACGAGTTGGGTCTGACGGCTTGCGTGACCGCCCCGTCCACCTCCAATTGACCCGGCGGCCCGGTCCCTCGGCTCTTCCGCCGGGGCTGGCCAGCTTGGGTCAGTTACCAGATTATAATGATTATCAAATTTGATCCAACCTCCAATTTGTTGACAGGGTGTAACAACTAAATTACACTACCGGCAACCGTCGTAAGGCCGGGAACGGCGTATGGAATCCCGGCAAAAACGGCATCAAATTGCAGTAGGAGGCACAGGATGTCACATAAGGATGACCTGGCATTGATGGCCCATCTGATGCGGCGCGCCGGTTTTGGCGCCAACCGCGCAGAGTTGGAGCGATGCGTTGCTCAGGGTTACGCAGCCACCGTGGAAGAGCTGATCGATCCGCCGACGGACAACGAAGGCGGGAAAATGGCGCTTCTGCTCCGATACCACCCCAGTTTCCTGCTCCCCGGCGGAGTTCCCTTCTCCGGCCAGGCGAACTGGATGTACAACATGGTATCCAGCGATCGTCCTCTCGAAGAGAAGATGACGCTGTTCTGGCACCACGTCTTCGCCACCGGCAACTCCAAGGTCGACAACTGCGACCAGTTGCTGGAACAGATCGACTTGTTCCGCGAATACGGCATGGGCAACTATCGGGACATTCTCGTCGAGCTGTCCAAGAACCCGGCCATGATCTTCTGGCTGGACAACAACGAGAACCACCGGGACGCCGTCAACGAGAACTGGGGCCGCGAGCTGCTCGAACTGTTCTCCATGGGCGTTTCCAACTACACCGAGGTCGACGTTCGCGAGTGTTCGCGGGCCTTCACCGGCTGGACCATCCAGGCCAAGCTGCCGCGCGCTCCGTACGGCCGTTACCCCTGGAAGTTCGACTACCGCGAAGAGGACCACGACTTCGGCGAAAAGACCTTCCTGGGCCAGACCGGCAACTTTGACGGTGAAGACATCATCGACATCATCTTGGCCGAGCCGGCAACGTCGCGCTTCATCTGCCGCCACCTCTACAACTTCTTCGTCGCCGACGAGCCGCAGGTTCCCGCTTGGACCATCGAGCCGGCCCGCGACGAGGACGCTCTGGACGAGATGGTCCAGGTGTTTGAAGACTCCGGTTACCAGATGAAGGCAGTGCTGCGCCACATGCTCCACTCGCAGTGGTTCCAGGACGCCCGCTACCAGAAGATCAAGAGCCCGGCCGAAGTGGTCGCCGGCACCCTGCGGATGGTCGGCCTGTTCGAGAACCCGGACCCCGGCGTCCTCGACATCGGCAAGGAACCCACCTACATGGGCCAGTCCATCCTGGACCCGCCTTCGGTGGAAGGCTGGCACACCGGCCTGGAGTGGATCAACTCCGGCGCCCTGCTGGCACGGATCAACTTCGTGGCCGACCGCGTATCCAACGCCGACCTGCCCGGCATGAAAGACATCATCGACCGGATGCGGGACGAAGGCGTTAGTACGCCCGACCACCTGCTGAACGCCTGCACCGATTACATGGGCTTCGTCGAGCTGAGCGAAGAGACGCGCGGCCAGCTGGCTGAGCACGTCCGCGCCGGCGGCGACGTCAACTGGGGCGACCGCTCCGCCGCCGCCACCCGCATCGGCGAGACCATGTCTCTCATCAGCGCCACGACCGAGTACCAGTTCGGCTAATCGGGAAATGGAACGAGCCGGACCGAACCTGCTTCGATTCGGCTCGTCGCCAACCGCAGTTCCGGCTGCATCTGTGAACATCGATAAGGAGCATACGCAATGACCTCCACCAAGAAAGATCCGGTCATCGTGGTCCTGCAGCTCACCGGCGGCAACGACTACTTCAACACGGTGATCCCCTACAACGATTCGTCGTACTACGACAACCGGCCGACCATCCATTACCAGCGGGAAGACATCATCCCCATTAATGATGAGCTCGGCTTCGCCCCCACCATGGGCCCGATGAAAGAGATCTTCGACGCGGGCAAGCTTGCCGTCATCCACGGTATCGGCTACGCCGACAGCCCTCGCTCCCATTTCCGCAGCATGGACATCTGGCACACCTGTGAGCCGGACAAGGTCGGAACGGAAGGCTGGGCCGGCCGCGTCGCTCGCGAGATGGACCCGGGCAAGGAAAACGTGCTGACGGCCATCAACTTCGGCCACGGCCTGCCTCGCGCATTGGCCGTTCCCGGCGTCCCCGTCGCCGCCATCGCTGATCTGGGCACTTATGGCCTGCTCACCGGTATCTCCGATAACGACCAGCGCTCCAAGGCCCTGGACCTGTTCTCCAAGATGTATGCCCCCACCGTGGGCGGCAGCTTTGTGAACGACTACCTGCGCTCCACCGGCACCGACGCCATGGTTGGCGCCGATATCGTGAAGGTCGCGCCGGAGCAGTACTCCAGCAACGTGGAGTACCCCAACAGCCCCATCGCCTCTCACCTGCGTGACATCGCCCAGGTGTACATGGCCGATCTGGGCACCAAGATCTTCTACACCCAGCACGGCAGCTTCGACACCCACGCCGGTGAGGCCGCGGCCCACCCGGTGCTGTGGAAGGAAATTTCCGAGGGCATCAGCGCCTTCTTCCAGGACATGAAGGAGCACAACACCGGCGAGAACATCGTCATGTACCTGTTCTCCGAGTTCGGCCGCCGCGTTCGTGACAACGGCTCCGGCACCGACCACGGCGCCGCCGGCGTTGCCTTCGCCATCGGCGAGTCCGTACAGGGTGGCTTCTACGGCGAATACCCGTCCCGCAAGAACGAGGATCTGGAACAGGGCGACCTGGTCCCGAACTACGACTTCCGCGGTGCGTACTCCAGCATCGTCGAGGACTGGCTTGGCATGGATGCCAACCCCATCGTCAACGGCGTGTTCCCCAAGCTGGACATCATCAAAAAGTAGATCCATCGACCCAGCAAAAACGGCGGCGAGGTAGAGACGAAGCTATGTCGCCGCCTGTGCAACGCAGATCAATTGGAGGAATAACTATGCCTCAGAATACCGTAGCAAGCGGTCGGGCATGGCTGTACGTCAAGAACGTTGGCCGCCAGGGGCAGGTGGGCATGGGCTTCAGCCAGCCCGTCGGCGTGGCGACCCTTGATGACGGGACGATGTACGTCGCCAACCGCGGCGGCGAGCAGAACCCCAGCGCACGCATCACCAAGTGCACCATCGGCAACACCGACGGCAAGGGCGGCGAAGAGTTCCTGGGTGAATTCGGCCGTGAAGGCATCGCCTACCAGGCCAGTTCGCGAGGTTTGTTCGAGTGGATTACCGGAATTGCCCTCGACGCCGCTGGTAATGTGTACGCTTCCGACGAGTGGAAGAACATGGTCGCCATGTTCGACGCCGACGGTAACTTGGTGAAGCATTGGGGCGAGGCCGGAGATGGCGAAGGCCAGCTCAGCGGCGCCGCCGGATTGGCTTTCGACGCCGACGACAACCTCTGGGTTGTTTCGGCCAAGTCCAGCCGTGTGCAAAAGTTCAGCAAGGACGGCGAGTACCTGGGCGGCTTCGGCGCCAAGGGTGACGGCCCCGAAGACCTGGAAATGCCCTCCGGCATCGGCATCGACGCCGCCGGCGATCTTTACATCGCCGACTGGGGCAACCACCGCGTGCAGAAGTACACCGCCGGTGGCACCCACCTGCGCACCTTCGGCAGCCGCGGCACCCGCTCCGGCGAGCTGAACCACCCGCTGGACGTCGACATCGACAACGAAGGCGACGTGTACGTAGCCGACTGGCTCAACGAACGCATCGTGATCTACGACGCCGACGCTCGCCCCTTGGCCTATCTGAAAGGCGACGCCACCGAGGTCTCGGCGTGGGGCGACCTGTCGCTCAACGCCAACCCCGACATGGTGAAGGCTCGCCGCCGGGTTCCGGACTTGGAGCAGCAGCAGCGTACCTTCCGGATGCCCATGTCCTGCACCTTCGACCGGGCCAACAACCGGCTGCTGGTGTGTGACACCCTGCGGTCCCGCCTGCAGGTTTACGAGAAGGACGGCACCTACCTGGACCCGCAGTTCAACCTTTAGGACTGCGAAACATCCGGGAAGTCGTTTAGACCTTCTTCCCAAGGACCGGCGCTCTTTCACCCCCGAGCGCCGGTTCTTTTTTGCCTTAACAAGATCGGTCAGGGGGGTGCACCACCAGAATAATGCGGTTCCCTAAACGGTCATTGCGTTCGCTATCCTGTATGCCATTGCGAGCGAAGCGTGGCAATCTAGTCGTCGTAGCATGGGCTCTTGCCAAACTGTGTCGCGTTGCTTCGCTGCCGCTGCCCCTTTTGATCCCCGGCGACAATAATCGGAAAGCCCTGGGTGCAGCATCCGCCCTTTCGGGTTCCAGCGCCGACGCGGCCAGCTAAAGCTCGTGGGTGTGGCTGTCGTCCCCGCCGCCGCGGTTGGTCGCTTCGGGCGGCAGGGTGATGATTGCCCTGCGGTGAGTACCCACCCCGATGGTGCGGTCGCCGTCCAGCGCTTCCACCTTGAAATAGAGCCATCTGCCGTCGACACGTTCCAACTCAGCGACGGCTACCACCGTGACCCCGATGTCGGCGCCGGCCACGTGCCGGATGTTGACCTCGAACCCAACCGTGGATTGCTCCGGCGGGAGGCAGCCGAGCACCGCTCGCTGGGACGCCTGCTCCATGGCCCGGATCATGGACGGCGTGCTGAGCTTGGCGACGTGAGGTGCGACGTTGTGCTCGCACACCAGCACTTCCCGCCGTCCGATGAGGCCCGGCGAAAGTTCTGTTTCCCGGCTGCCAGTTTGATCAGTCATCGTTACTCCTGTGACGGGTCTTACGTTCCCGGTTTCAGCGGGCCGTATGCTATCATATCGACGCTGCCCATCCGGTGACGTTGAATCGAGGCGGGCGTCGCGGTCGCTACCGAGGCGCATAGTCCATACCAGTGTAGAACTTGCCCCACCCTCCAGGTTCCGCGGAACGCGCAATATGAACACCAAGCGGGATTTCCTATCCATAACCGACATATCACCCGCTGAGACCCGCCGGCTGATTGGCCGAGCACAGGAGTTGAAAGCGGCGCCGGCGGGGAGCGCTACGCCGCTGGCCGGCAAGCGGGTCGCGCTGCTGTTCGAAAAACCTTCGCTCCGGACTCGGGTCAGTTTCCAGATCGGCATCGCGGAGCTCGGCGGCTTCAGTCTCTATATGGGACAGGACGAGGTGGGTCTGGGACGGCGCGAGCCGGTGTCCGACGTCGCGCGCGTTTTGAGCGGGTACGTAGACTGCATCGTGGCCCGTGTCAACTCCCACGACTCGCTGGTCGGATTGGCGGAGTACGGCGGCGTACCGGTGATAAACGCCCTTTCCGACTTGGAGCATCCGTGTCAAACCATGGCCGATCTGCTGACCATCGCGGAGACCCATGGGAAAACCGACGGGCTGAATCTCGCCTACATCGGCGATGGAAACAACGTGGCGCGTAGCCTCTGCCTGGGCGCGCCAGCCGTCGGCATGAACTTCGCCATCGCGGCTCCGCATGGCTACCAGCTTGAGGAGCCGACCTTCGACGCGGCGAGCGAACGGGGAGCGCGTGCGGACGGCGGCCCACGCCCGACGGTGCATCCGTTGGTTCGCCCGGCCGACGCCGTCAGCGACGCCAACGTGGTGTATACCGACGTTTGGACCAGCATGGGCGACGAGGCGGAAACGGCAGAACGCATCCGGGCCTTCCAGGGCTACACCGTGGACGGGGCGCTGATGGCCCAGGCGGCCGCCGGCGCATGCTTCATGCACGATATGCCAGCCCACTACGGCGAAGAGGTGCCTCCCGGTATGCTGGAACACCCGCAGTCGGTGGCGTACCAGCAGGCGCACAACCGATTACACGCCCAGAAAGCGGTGCTGGAATTCCTGCTGGCGTGAAACGGGCGCGCGGCCGCATCCGTTGGCGCGGCGTAATGGCTCCCTCTCGGGCGAAAATGTGAACCAGCCCTGATGCGGCTGGAAGGGGCGACAGATGGGATTGGACTTTATCAGATGACCAACATAGACATTAGCCAGCAAACGCTGCCCGCAGACCAGCAATATCTGCCCGCGGACCAACAGGGTCTGGCTGCAGAGCCGCAGGAACCGGCCCTAGACCCGCAGCAGCCGGAGGCGACGGGGCGTCGCGCTCCAACCCCCACCCTGGACCCCATGGTAGCCATCATCGGCCGCCCCAACGTGGGCAAGTCTTCGCTTTTCAACCGCATTCTCTCGCGCCGGCATGCCATCGTCTCCGAAGTGGCCGGAACCACCCGCGACCGCCTGATAGCCCAGGCGTCGTGGAAGGGCCGGCCGTTCCTGCTGGTCGACACCGGCGGCCTGGAAGACGACCCGGACGGGCACATTCCCCAGCGGGTCCAGCAGCAGGCCGACATGGCGATGGGCGCCGCCGACGTCATTGTGTTCCTGACCGACGTCATCGAGGGGGTTACGGCCACGGACGAGGCGGTAGCGCAGCGGCTGCGGCGCACGGACAAGCCCATACTGCTCGCCGTCAACAAGGTGGACAACGACAACCGGGAACTCGCCGCGGCGGAGTTCTTCGGTTTGGGGCTCAACGACACAGCATTCATCTCCGCGTACCACAACTACGGCGTCTACGACCTGTTGGAGCGAATTGTCGAGTTGCTGCCCAGGCGGGAACTGGCCGATGCATGGGACGGCGGCCCCGAAGGAGACGCCGCGGCCGACGGTGACTGGTGGGAAGACGATGAAGCCGAAGACCCGGTCGCGGAACAGGAATGGACCCCTCCTATGGAGTTGAGCCTGTCCATTGTCGGCCGCACCAACGTGGGCAAGTCGATGCTCACCAATGCCATCATCGGCGAAGAGCGGAGCATTGTGAGCCCCGTTGCCGGCACGACGCGCGACGCCCTGGATACCGCGGTATCCTATCGGGACCACGAGATCACGCTGGTGGATACCGCTGGTATACGCCGCCCTGGCCAGGTGCAGCGCGGCATCGAGAAATACAGCGTGCTCCGTGCCGTGAACGCCGTGCATCGCAGCGACATCACCCTGCTGATCACCGATGCCACCGAGCTCGCCACGGCACAGGACGCGCACATCGCCGGGCTGTCCTGGGACACCAACCGAGGCCTGATCGTGGTGGTGAACAAGTGGGACCTGGTGAACCGCAACCGCTTTCGCATGGAACGCGTTTTGCACCGCGTCCGCGAACGCCTGCATTTCATGCGCTACGTGCCGGTGTGCTTCACGTCAGCGCTCACCGGCGAGGGGATCGAGGAAATGCTGGACACCGCCCTGTCACTCTGGCAGGAGCGGCAGAAACGGGTCCCGTACCGGGATCTGCAATACCTGCTGGCTGACGCGGTTTCCACCCACACTCCGCCCTCGCAGCGGGGCAACATCCGCAACCGCCTGCGTATTCGCCGGGTGCGGCAGGTGGCCGTGAACCCGCCAACCTTCGTGTTTTCGGTCAACGACCCCAAGCTCCTGCATTTTTCGTACCAGCGATATCTGGAAAACCAAATTCGCGACCGGTTCGGATTTGACCGAACGCATCTGAGATTGATTTTCCGGCCGGAGCGCGCGGAGAAATCCTCCCGCTCCGGAATACGCAACCGCGCCCGGTAGCTGGCTTGCCATGACCCTGCTACGTCAGGCATCGTACCCTACCATCGCGATGCTGGTCGCCTTGCCTATCCTGGCGGTGGCCGGTATTGCCATTGCCGGCGCCGGTGACCGGACGGCGGCGCAACTGGCCCTGTATATCGCCGTGTGCGTGATCGCGTACCTGATCGGCTCAATTTCGTGGGGTTATATCTTCGTCAACCTGACCATGGGGGAGGACATCCGCGATTTCGGCAGCGGCCGGACGGGCATGTCGAACATATTGCGGACGTCGGGCGGGAAAGCTGCTGCGGCGGTTTTCTTGCTGGACGCCGGTAAAGGGGTGGTCTGCGTACTGCTGGCGAGGACGGCTATCGGGCCTGGAGAAGCGGAAGTGGCCGCGGCGCTGCTGGCGTTGTGCGGGCACAATTGGCCAATCTTCCTCCGGTTCCGCGGCGGACGCGGCATCATGCCGGGTTTGGGCGCGCTGTCCGTGATGGCTCCCTGGGTTGCGCTGGCCGGCGCCGGGCTTTTTCTGGTGGTCACGCTGTCCAGTCGGATATTGTCGTTGGGCAGCATCGTGGGTACGCTGGCGGTGGCCGTGCTGAGCCTTGCCTTGATGCTGCTCTTTGGACACAGCCAGCTGTACACGCTGTACGCGTGCGTTGGCGGCGCGGTCATCATCTGGCAGCACCGGGATAACATCCGCCGGATCGCCAAGGGAACCGAACGCAGACTGGGCATGCCGGCGGTGCGGAACCGCTGAGCCCGGGCTCAGTTTGGGGCAAACACGATACCCAGGCATCCCGGACCTAATCATCCCGTACCCAGGCATCCCAGCGCCTCAGCCGGTGCGAATAGCCTGACCCAACCGGTGCAACCCTTCCGCCAGGTCGCCGGTGTCATACAGCGAAAAGCTGATTCGCAGGGCGTCCCGGAAACCTCCGTCAGAGGAGAACGCCGTTCCGGGACGATAGGATACGCCGTTCCTCTGGGCGCTGGGCAACAGTCCGTCGGCGTCGACTCCGTTGCGCAAGGTTAGCCAGAAGAAGTAGCCCCCGTCCGGTTGGTTGAAATCGACCCGGTCGGCGAGGTCGGTGGCCAATAACCTGGCTACAGCGTCTCGCCTCATGGTATAGATTCTCCGCAACTCGGTAATGTTCTCCTGCAGCAGCCCCATGTCCAGGGTCGCCTGCGCCACTGCCGCGGTGAAGTGGCTCAGACCGCCGCCGCTGGCCGCCAACCCGGAATCCACGAAGCGCTGGATGATGCCGGGGGTTGCGTGAGCCCACCCCAGTCGCAATCCGGGCGCCAGGATCTTGGAAAAGGAACCCAGCGAAACGACGCAACCATCTTCCGAATCGTCGATGGTGGCCAGGGGCGGTGGAGGAGGCGGACCGTAGTGGAGTAACTGATACACCTCATCCGCGAGGACGGTGAAGCCATACTGCTGTGCCAGGCCGATCAGTCGCTGCCGACGCTCGGGGACCAGCGTGGCCCCGGTGGGATTCTGATAGGACGGTATGACATAGAGCAGGCGTGGCCGGTGACCGTCCAGCAACATCGCTTCCAGGGCGTCGATGTCCAGTCCGTCGCTATCCGTGGGCACGCCGACCACCTTCAGGCCGTGATCCAGGAAAATGCGGCCGATCAGGTAGTAGGTAGGTTCTTCCACGAACACCGTGTCGCCCGATCGGGCGAAGATCGTGGCGGCCAGGTCGATGCCCTGGGAAGCGCCCGCCGTAAGGAAAAGCGAAGCCGGGTTCACGGGCAGGTTTCCGTAAGCGTCCTGGGACGAAAGGAAGTCGGCCAACGCTTCGAGAAGCGGCCCAAAGCCCTGGACGGCGCCGTACTGCAACGGTACGGCGGATTGCGTTCCCAGGACGCGCTCACTGGCCGCGGCCAACGCCGCGGTGGGGTGCAGCTCGGATGACGGGTGGCCCCATCCCAAGTCGATGACGCCTTCCGGGATGGAGATGAGCAGTGATGGGAGCGTGGTGGGCATGGCTAATGGTTTCGCGAATGGGCCAGCAACCCGCCGAGATCTACCGGACTGGTGGTTTGCGCCGGTGGGTGTGGAGTTGCGATTTCAGGGATGTTATTTGGAGAGCATCCGGTCTCCGGCGCACACCTCCGGCACGGACGGTAGCCTTCCCGCAGCGCCTCGGCCAACGTATCAAAGAATTCGACGTTGCGGCGTTTGGGCCGCCGGGACGGGCACCCCGGCCGGCAAACTACCCCGGGTGGTGCGCACGCCGTACAGGAACCCCCCGGCCTCCGTGTCATCTCGTTTCGACACCGCGTTCCAACGTATGTCTTCCGAATGTTGGTCAATGGACATGAGAGGTTCAGGGTCACGGGCTCGAAGAACGGATTGGTCTGTCAGGCTAGGCAGGCCATGAAAAGGCCGACGGGTGCGATACCCGCCGGCCGATTGCCGATTTGACGAGATGTGGACTGGGCTACTAGATGTAGTCCTGGTCCTCTGCCATCATCTGCAGGACGTCACCGGACTGCAGGGCAATGGCGCGCTGGATCTGGAGCTTGAGGTCGTCCAGCATGTCGTCGGGGATCTCGCCCTCGTTGTCGCGGGCGGCTTCCTTCATGGAGTCGAAAGCCCACTCGTCGGAGTTGCCGTGCGGCATATCGAAGAAACCGCGATCGAAGACGGGGAGTTCGCCGGGGCCGAAGTAGCCCTTGCCTTCCAGGTTGTAACCTTCGAGGTCATGGGTGCCCTTGCCGAGGACCTGGCCGGTCGCGGCGTAGTGCTCCATGGTGTTCTTCAGGCCATACTTCTGGATCGGGCAGACCTTCATGCACACGCCACAGCCGAGGTAGCGAGCCATGACCGGGCGGCAGCGCTTGAAGTAGAGCTTGTTCTTCTCAATTCCACGCCACCAGATCTTGTCGCGCATCAGGGCGCGGCCCGGGCAGCGGTTCACGCAGACCTGGCACACCTGGCAGAACGCGTGGATGCCGTAGTCGACGGGAGCGTCATAGGTGACGTTGGCGTCGGTGGTGACCATCATCAGCCGCATGCGGTTGCCGGTGTGCGGGGACAGCAGGTAGCCGCAGGCGCCCAGCTGGCCGAGGCCGGCGGCGACGAACATGGGGATCACCGGGCCGGTGGCGTCACTGGAGTGGATGACGTGCGCCTTGTAGCCCATGGAACGGATGAAGTTACCCAGTTCCAAGCCAGCCGCTGCCTGCGTGCGATACGTGCTGGAGTGCACGATCTCAGCGTCAACGCTGGGGATGGTCTGGGTGGGCTCGAAGTCCTGCTCGTACGCCAAGCAGATGGCGTGGGGCATGATGGTGAAGCCACGCTTGCTCTTGTAGTCGTAGCGCGGGTCGAAGGACGTGATGCCGACTTCCAGGTAACCGAGCTGGCGGGCCTTGTCCTTGACCAACTGGGAGATGTCCTCGCCGTTAGGCTCAGCGGTGGGGTCCATCTCGGCGGTGGACCGGGCGGCCATGATGAGGTTGCTGTTGAGCTTGTCATGCTCCTTGCGGATCTCACGCATCTCGGCGTGGAGGTCGCGCAGGGTGTTGGCCCAGTCGCGGGAAGCGCGCTCGGTGATGTTCATGGTTTCCAGCGGATACTCGCGGGCGTACCAGTCAACCTCCCGGGCGGTCAGCGGAATTCCAGGAGTGGTTTCCAGTTCTTCCGGAACCGGAATCGTGACGTTGGAGTCTCCCCAGTGCCTTCCGGGACGGACTACCTCGTGCCCAATCTTAAGCATATTAGCCTCCTCGCTAGTTGGCTTTACCGCACGAATGCGGTGGCATTTGGGGCAATTTATACCCTTGTTACCCCTTTGTCAACAACTGACGCCAAGTTCCCAATGGAATTCGCCAAGGATTGCGAATCGCGACGTGGCGCGCAGTTTCGACGCCGATTCCCGGTCTCCGCAATACGACAACCGAGACTGTTCCCCGGAATCCGTCTCGCCCCCCGGAATTCATCTCCCCTCTCGGAAATCCCCCGGAATCGCGGCTAACGACTCTTCCACCACATCCATGCTCCAATCGCTGCCAACAGGATGCCCACGGCGACCAGCGTCCATCCCACCCCTTTCATAAGGCGCATTGCCAGCGGCGTGAGCAGGAACAGGCCCAGGCAAAAAACGCCAGCCCTCAGCCAATGGCCCCGGCGGCCCCGGTCTCCCGGTGAAACGTCATGCCGGGAGACCTTCCCGCGACTCCTAATCCGGTAGCATGTAACTGGCTTCGTGCTCGATGACGCGATTTTCCTGGCGCAATTTTTCGAGGTGGGTACGCACGTTGCGGCCCGCGGCGGCGCGCAAGGTTCTGCGCAGGTTGCGCGGGTACACGGCGGACACGATCTCGTCAACGGTGGACGCCCCGGCGCTCAGGGCAGCCAGTACCTGGTCTTCACGGCTGATGCGGTGAGCTATTTGCTGCTGGATGCGCTGTTGACCCCGGATGATGGTATTGCCGTGTCCGGGGCACACCACCACCGGTCGGGTTCTGGCCATTCGCCCCAGGGACGTCAGATACTGCTTGAGGTTGCGAACGCTGGACGACGAATTCCCCAGCAGGTTGTCACCGCTGAACAGGACGCGGTCGGGCCGCAGGAAGTAGCAGACGTGGTCGTCCTCATGGCCGGGGGTGAACAGCGGGCGCAGGGTCACGCCGCCCCCGGTGGTTATGGTCTCGTTGGCGCGGAGAGCATTGACCGACACCCCGCCCAGGGTGTGCTGCAGGCGCGGGGCAAGCTTGGGATGGCAGCGAACCGGGCAGTCGAATGCTTCCTGCAGCCGGTCGAGGCCCCCGGTGTGGTCGCCGTGCCCGTGGGTGATCAGGATGGCGTCAATGCGCGGGCTGCCCAGTTCGTTCCAGTAGTCCATGATCTGGCGGGTCCAGAACCGGTAGGGCTCACCCGAGTCGATCATGACCATGCTTTCCGACGGATCACCCACGAAATAGATCTGGGTGCCGCCGGGGTGCATCGCCCCGAACGTGTTGGGGTCTTCCTCGATGTGGGTGCTGTAAACGTGGTCGGTGATCTGCATGACGGGGACCTCACCAATCCCGGGAGCGAATGTAACGGTGCGCGGCGATGGCGGCGGTGGCCCCGTCACCGGCCGAGGCGACCAGCTGCGCGGCCGACTGCTGGCGGATGTCACCGGCGGCAAACAGTCCGGGTTGGGGCGTTTCCATGGAAAGACCCACCGGGATGTGGCCGGCATTGTCCAGCGTAACCAGGTCCGACACCGCCGACGAGTTGGGCTCCAGCCCGACATAGACGAACAGGCCGCCCACGGGCTCAACGTTCTCGCCGTCCGCGCTACGAACCCGTACCCCGGTGACGGTATCCTCGCCGACCACCTCGACGACCTCCGCGTTGTAACGAACTTCGACCTTCGGTTGGCCGGCCAGGCGGTCCTGGAGCGCCTGCTGGGCATCCAGGCTGTCGCCCCGGTGGAAGAGGATGACGCGTTCCGTGTACTCGGTCAACGTCAGGGCCTCGTCCGCCGCCGAGTCGCCGCCGCCCACTACGGCAACGGTCTGCCCCATGTAGAGCGGGCCGTCGCAGGAGGCGCAATGAGAGACACCACGGCCGAGGTACTCCTCCTCTCCGGGGATGCCCAGGGTGCGCAGGGTGGAGCCGGCCGCCATGATCACGGCCTTGCCGAGATAGGAGCCGCCGCCCTCGCCGGCGACGCGCAGGTGGTCCCCGTCCGAGGACACGCTGGCTACGGTGTCCATCAGCATCTCAACGCCGGCGTTCATCGCCTGTTCCTGCGTTGCGGGTCCCAATTCGTAGCCGGCGATGCCCTGGGGGAAACCGGGGAAGTTCTCGATGCGCTCCAGGTTGATGATCTGGGCGCCGGCCATCATCTGCTCGACGATGGCGGTGCTGAGGCCGTGACGGGCGGCGTAGATGCCGGCGGTCAGGCCGGCCATGCCGCCGCCGATGATGATGACGTCGAAGTTCTGGTCTGGCACGGGAATACCTCGCTGAGCATTGGTTGGACGGAGAGGTTGAAACTGATGCGTGGAACCGTTAATTGATTGCCAATTGACTGCGGATAAATGGGCCACGAAAGGACGGCTGCCTGGCGAATGCGCGCCGCCGGCAGGTCAGGCCCGGTCAGTCGAAATCGATTGTACCATCAGCCGATTCTACGGTAGAGAGCGTCGGCCAGGCACACGCCGGGTCATCCGGTTTTTCCGAATGTCATTGCGCGCGAAGCGTGGCAATCTCGTCGTCGCAGCACGGGTTCTCGCCAAAATTGGTTGGGCTGCTTCGTGATAGCCGTGCCTTCTGATTCCCGACGACAGCAACCGAATGACCCTGAAGGCTCACGCCGTGCATGGCGTTGATGCTGCAAGCAAATCCCGACTCGCTGCAGAAACGGTTGAATTCGGCGTGATGGCCCGCCAACGTCGCACGTTCTCGGTTGACACAGCCCGGCGGGAAACAGAAAATGGCGCCATCATCAACGCCGAGCCACACCGAGACGCCACGCTGCATCGGACGCCACGCTGTATAAGGAAGATGAGGAAATGGCAGAGATCCTGGGGCTTGGCCTCACGCACTATCCACCGCTGATATCCCCTGACGAAGACAAGGCGATACCTCTCAAGAGGACGCTACGCGGGAACAAACAGATCCCCGAGGAGATGAAAAACCCGAGCAGCTGGCCCGAGCCCATGCGGATCGAGTACGGCGAGGACGAGGGCTACGCCTCCTCGCTGGAACATCGGGCGCGCCTGGTCGCCGGCTTCCGGCGCATCCGCGAGGAGCTGGATGCCTTCAACCCGGACTTCGTGGTGATCTGGGGCGACGACCAGTACGAGAATTTCAGAGAGGACATCATTCCTCCCTTCTGCGTGCTGGCCTACGACGACTTCGAGGCACAGCCCTTTGCCCACCGGCAGCGCAATGCGTGGGCAGAGCCCCAGGACACAACCTTCAAATACCAGGGACACAAGGAAGGCGCGCGGGCGCTGGTTTCGGGCATGATCGACCGCGGCGTGGATATGGCCTACGCCTACCAGCCGCTGCACGAGCCTGGCCTGGGCCACGCCATCCTGAACACCCTGCTGTACCTGGACTACGACCGCAAGGGGTTCGACTATCCGGTGGTTCCGATGCTGGTCAACTGCTACGGCAGCCGCGTGATCCGCAACAAGGGCGGCGCCGTCGAGTACTCGCCGGACCCGGACCCGCCCGGGCCGTCGCCCAAGCGGTGCCTGGAAGTCGGGGCCGCCGCAGCGCAAACGTTGCAGGACTCGCCGTGGCGGGTGGCGCTGATCGCGTCGTCGTCCTGGTCCCACGCGTTCCTGGTGGAGAAGAACCACTGGCTGTGGCCGGACATCGAGTCCGACCGTGCCCGCTTCGAGGAGCTCAAGGCCGGCGACTACCAGGCGTGGTCGCGGATTTCCACCGATCAGGTGGAGGACGCGGGGCAGCAGGAGATGCTGAACTGGATGTGCCTGGCGGGAGCGATGGACACCCTGAACTACAAGCCGGAGATCCTGGACTACGTCGAGACCTACGTTTTCAACTCCAACAAGTGCCTGGCGATTTTCAAGTAACCCGCCAGCTTGTGCGGCGCCGATAGGGGCGAATAATCATTCGCCCCTTATGACCGTATCGGGACCAAGGAGGGAAATTATGGCCGAAATACTGGGCCTGGGACTGACTCATTCGCCGTCGTTCATCCGGCCCGACGAGGACGGCGAATCGTCGTTGAAGCGGACGCTGCGGACGAATGACCGCATCCCCGCCGAGATGAAGAACCCGCTGAATTGGCCGGAACCCATGCGCGCGGAATTCGGGGAGGACGAGGGCTACGCCTCGGCGGTACGGCTGCGTGAACGCATGGTGGATGGCTTCCGGGAACTGCGGAAGGAACTGGACGCGTTCAACCCCGACTTCGTGGTGATCTGGGGAGATGACCAGTACGAGAACTTCAGAGAGGACATCATCCCGCCTTTCTGCGTCCTGGCCTACGACGAATTCAACTGTCAGCCCTTCGCCAACGGCGGCGGGCCGGCTCGGCGAAACGTCTGGGGCGAAGGCGCGGACACCACGTTCAAATTCCAGGGGCACAAGGAAGCCGCGCGCGCCATGGTCTCGGGCATGATCGACCGGGGAATCGACATGTCCTATGCGTACCAACCCCTGCACGAGCCCGGGTTGGGCCACGCCATCCTGAACACGATCCTGTATCTGGACTACGACCGGAAGGGGTTTGACTATCCGGTGGTGCCCATGCTGGTGAACTGCTACGGCAGCCGGGTGATACGGAACCAGGGCGGCAGCGAGGAACGCTCGCCGGACCCGGACCCGCCCGGGCCGTCACCGAAGCGGTGCATGCAGGTGGGCGCGGCGGCTGCCCAGGCGCTCAAGGACTCGCCGTGGCGGGTGGCGCTGATCGCGTCGTCGTCCTGGTCCCACGCGTTCCTGACGGAAAAGAACTGGTGGCTCTACCCTGACATCGAGTCGGACCGGGCCCGGTTTGAGGAAATGAAGTCCGGCGACTACCAGGCGTGGTCGGGCGTCTCGACCGCGCAGATTGAGGATGCCGGCCAGCAGGAACTGCTCAACTGGGCCTGCCTGGTGGGTGCGGTGGACGAGCTTGGCTACAAGGCGGAGATCGTCGACTGGTACGAGACCTACATCTTTAACTCGACGAAGTGCCTGGCGGTCTTCAGATAGCCAGCCCGGGGAAAGCGGTTAACGACGTAGGGGCGAATGACCATTCGCCCCTACGTTTTTGGCAGTGGTCACCACGTCCCTAGACGTTGTGGTAGACCTCGCTGCCGCCGGCCTTGAACTCCTCGGACTTCTCCTGCATCCCCATGAGCAGGGCCGCGGCGTTGTCACCGAGCCCCTTGCTCTTGGCGTAGTCCCGCACATCCTGGGTGATCTTCATCGAGCAGAAATGAGGGCCGCACATTGAGCAGAAGTGGGCGACCTTCTGGGCATCCTTGGGCAGGGTCTCGTCGTGGTACTCCCGCGCCGTGTCCGGATCCAATCCCAGGTTGAACTGGTCTTCCCAGCGGAACTCGAAGCGCGCCTTGGACAGGGCGTTGTCGCGGATGGCGGCGGCCGGGTGTCCCTTGGCCACGTCGGCGGCGTGGGCGGCGATCTTGTAGGTGATTATGCCTTCCTTGACGTCGTCGCGATTGGGCAGGCCCAGGTGCTCCTTCGGGGTGACGTAGCAGAGCATGGCGGTGCCGAACCAGCCGATCATGGCGGCGCCGATGCCGGAGGTGATGTGGTCGTAGCCCGGTGCGATGTCGGTAACCAACGGGCCCAGGGTGTAGAACGGCGCCTCGTAGCAGTCCTGCAACTGCTTGTCCATGTTCTCCTTGATGAGGTGCATCGGCACGTGGCCGGGTCCCTCGATCATCACCTGGACGTCGTGTTCCCAGGCGATCTTGGTCAGCTCGCCCAGCGTCTCCAGTTCGCCGAACTGAGCTTCGTCGTTGGCATCGGCGATGGAGCCGGGGCGCAGGCCGTCGCCCAGCGAGAACGCCACGTCGTACTGCTTCATGATCTCGCAGATGTCGGCGAAATGCTCGTAGAGGAAGCTCTCGCGGTGATGAGAGAGGCACCACTTGGCCATGATGGAGCCGCCCCGCGAAACGATGCCCGTAACCCGGTTCACGGTCAGCGGGACATACGCCAAACGAACGCCGGCATGGATGGTGAAGTAGTCGACGCCCTGCTCGGCTTGCTCGACGAGGGTGTCGCGGAAGATCTCCCAGGTGAGGTCCTCGGCCTTGCCGTCGACCTTTTCCAACGCCTGGTAGATGGGCACGCTGCCCACGGGGACCGGGCTGTTGCGGATGATCCACTCGCGCGTCTCATGGATGTTGCGCCCCGTCGAAAGGTCCATGATGGTGTCGCCGCCCCAACGGGTGGACCAGGTCATCTTCTCGACCTCTTCCTCGATGCTGGAGGTGATGGCGGAGTTGCCGATGTTGGCGTTGATCTTCACCAGGAAGTTGCGGCCAATGATCATCGGCTCCGACTCCGGGTGGTTGATGTTGGAGGGGATGATGGCGCGGCCGGCGGCGACCTCGTCGCGCACGAACTCAGGAGTGACCACCTCCGGCAGGTTGGCGCCGAAGTTCATCGCCTTGCGGCTGCCCATGAGGCTGGTGCCGAAGAACTCCTGGCGCTTCATGTTCTCGCGGATGGCGATGTACTCCATCTCCGGCGTCACGATGCCCTGGCGCGCGTAGTGGAGTTGGGTCACGTTTCTGCCCGCCTTGGCCCGGCGCGGGTTGCGGATATGGCTGAACCGGTACCGGTCAAGAGCGGTGTCGGCCAGCCGCCCGCGTCCGTATTCCGACGTGAGGTGGGGAAGCTGGTCGGTGTCGCCGCGCTCCTCGATCCATTGCTGACGCAGGGCGGGCAGGCCCTGACGCACGTCGACGGCAACGTCGGGGTCGGTGTAGGGGCCGGAGGTATCGTAGACGTAGATCGGCGGGTTCTTCTCGATCCCGTCGCTGGAATGGGTATCGGACAGGGAAATCTCGCGCATCGGCACCTGAATGTCCGGCCGGCTTCCCATTTCATAAATCTTGCGCGAGTTGGGGAACGGCCGAACCGATTCCGGGTCCACCTGGGCCTGTTCGCTGAGATAGTCCTTGTTGACGATGGTCATAATACGTTCCCTCCTACGGGTCGGGTCGGGTTTTGGTAATAAGCAGGGGCGAATCATTGCTCGACCCTGCGGATGCTGCGGCAGAGATCAGTCGTCCGCTGGAGAGGGCTCATCGATCAGTTCGACGTCGGAGTTCAGGATGGCGAAGTCGTACTCGCTGTCGGGCGCAACGAGCCGCTGCCCCAGGACCACAACCGCGGAGATCACGGACGAAACCACCAGGGCCGATGCGAACGCCCAGAACATCTGCCCGCCAGTAGGCGCGGTGAGCGCCCAGGGCGAGAGCAGGTCCGGCTTGGGATAGAACAGCGCGCCGATGACGATCCCGACGGCCCCGGCCAGCAACACGCCCCAGCCCGGCATCCGGCTGGAATACAGGCCCACCAGCATCGGAACCGCGATCGCCGCGCCGAGCAGGTCGGCGATCAGGAAAACGTACAGCACGCTGTGTCCCTGGGAAGCGACGATGATGGCAGGTATGGCGACGATCACGGTAACGGCGCGCGCCAGATTCATGAGCATCCCTCTTTCCAGACCAACCCCGGCCAGGTCTGCGGCCATGCCGCTGGCCAGGCCATTCATCAGCGTGTCCAGGGTGCTCATGGCGAGCATGAGGGCGCAGATGAGGATCAGGAAGTGCATCCACAGGGGAAACACGTCGGCGGCGAGCGTGAACATGGCCGCGGCGACCTCGGGGTACTGGAAAGGCCCCACGGACCCGTTTCCGACGGCGGCAATGCCCGCCATGCCCATCAGGAAGGTCAGCGGAATCGCGATGCCGGCCGCGCCCCACAGGCTGCGGTTCAGGGCCGCCTGGCTCTCCACGGTGTACACCCGCTGCCACATCCCGGGATGGAACGCGTTGGACGCTATGATGCCGATGATCAGCACAATGGCAAAGAAGTAGCTGCCTGGCGTCGTCACGGACAATAGGCCGGTCTCGCGGGCCGCCCCCCAGGCTCCGGACCCGCCCACCAGCACGGCGGCGACTATGACCAGCAGCAGCAGCACAGGGATGAGGATCCAGAACTGGATGCGGTCCGTGAAGATGGATACCCGCAGCCCGCCGTAGGCAGTGTAGGCGATCACCACCACGCCGACGGCAACCGCGGTCGCCCAAGCCGGCGATCCGGTGAGGATGCTCACCGCGGCAGTGATGGCGGTCATCTCCGCGGTGATGAAGATGCCGATCACGAATATGATGACCACGAAGATGGCGACAAACGGAACCAGGCCAAAACGGTGGCGCACGTACTCAGTAACGGAGTGGCCGTTGGGCATCAGTTGGCGGATGCGGGGCCCCACGAACATGAACATCACCGGAATTCCGGCCATGCCCAGGGCGTAACCCACCAGGGAAATGATGCCGAAGTTTGCTCCCGACTCCCCGGGGCTGAGGAGCACCCAGGTGCCGAACATGGAGGCGACCAGCGTCGCGACGCCCACGTTCACCGGGGCGTGGTTGCGGGAAGTGGTGTAGTCCTCGACGCTCTGCCGGCGACGACGCCAGGCGTATGTCAAACCGAGCACGAGGAACACGGCGCACGCGATGACCAGCGTTGCGATCCCCAGGGTGGCATCCAGCATAACGAACCTCCCATTGGCTTCGAATGGGTGAGCCGCGGCGGAGACCAAAAACAAAAACCGCCAGGCTCTTCAGTCTGGCGGCACATAAAATAAATTCCAGATTCCTACGCCGGCATTACCCGGATCAGGTGCAACGGTCGGCGGCATTTTAGGCCACCCTCTCAGCCTGGCATAACCAAGCTCCCGCCAGAAACTATTCGATTTTGTGGCGAGAGAATATCACGCCGATCCCGGCCGGTCAAGTAACCCTGATCGCTCACGCGTACCCACCGTGCCATCGCGAGCATCACGCCCCGGTCATTGCGAACGAAGCGCGGCAATCCCGCGTGCCAGGTACTGACCGCGCACCACATCTCATCACCGCCCGCCCAAATGCTCGTGCTACGCCGACAAGAATGCCAGGCCGCGCCAGCAATGATAGCGGGCCAGGCTCGGAGCCTGGCAAATCGGGTATTTGTGCGGGCACGCGGCGTAAGCGTTTGCCCGAGGCAGCGTCCGGTGAGGACACACGCACCAAAGAAGGGCGACTGTCGAGGTCGCCCTTCTTGACAGTTCAGGGTGCGAACGGACCCGGGATCAGTTCACTCGGTAAACCCAGATCTGGTGCATCACCTCCGGCTCACCCTTGGGCAGAGGCTGGAACGGCTCGGTGACCGCTACCAGGGACCACGCGCCGCTGTCGGCGAGGGCGTCCTGCTGGTCCTTGAAGCCCAGCTCGACATGGGTGTCGGGCCGCATGCTGAACACGATGTGGCCGCCGGGTTTGGTGACCCGGCACAACTCCACGAACGAATCGGGAGGCGCGTGCCCCGGCGTGAAAACCCCGACGCTGATCACCGCGTCGTAGGCGTCGGAGTCGAAACCGAGGTGGTCGCCCAGGGCCATCTGGCGGAAATCGTTGTAGCAACCCTTGGAACGGGCCTCGTCCAGCATCCCATCCGAAAGGTCCATGGCGCAGATGTTGCCGTAGCCCAAACGCTGTAGCTCCACTCCGACCAGCCCGGTGCCAGCCCCGGCGTCCAATATTTTCGCATCTTTGGCAACGTGCTCGGCCAAAGTCTCGGCGCCGCGACGGGGCGCGAGCCAGACGAACGTGTTTTCCAGGTCGTCATCGTACTCGCGGGCCCATTGGTCGTAGCGCTCCGCCAACTCGTCGTTGGTGGTGGACGAGTAGACCCACTGGACTCTCTCTTCCGGATTTATGCTTCCCGATTCAGGCATGGGTGTCAGCTCCGCAGTTGGTATGAGACTAGGCCGGCTTGATGCAGAGGTACTGCGCCCACCCGAGCTCGTCGTTGTTGATGGCTTCGACCGTCTTCATATAGGCGTCGCACAGGTAGTCGAACCGGTCCTGATAGCCCTCTGGACCTTCGGCAATGCCCGCCAGCTTGGACAGGTAGGTGTAGCTCCGGGCCAGGTGGGGCGAGAGGTCGCGCGCCTGCATCACCCTTGAAGCCGGTCTCTCTGAGCGCTTCAATGTACGAGTAAAAACTGAAGTCGGTATCGAACAGCAGCCGGTCGTAAACAAACTTGCGCGCCGATTCGCTGATGTCCTGCGTGGGCTTGGTCAGGTCATCGAAGATCAATGAGCCGCCCGGCTGGAGAACGCGGTAGGCCTCTTGCAGGACCTTGTCCTTGTCAGGAACGTGATAGACGGTGGCCTGGCTCCAGACGTGGGTGAAAGTTCCGTCAGGGAACGGCAACTCGGTAGCCGAGGCTTTCTCGAACGCCAGCCGGCCGGCCAACTCGGGGACCCGGTCCAGGGACTCTACCGCGTTTTCGATGCGCACGCCGCTGAGGTCGATCCCGGTCACGTGGGCTCCGCTGGCGCGGGACAGCCAAGTCGCGGTGGCGCCGTTGCCGCAGCCGACGTCCAGCACTCGGGAACTGGAGTCGATGCTGGAGTATTCCACCATCAACTCGTTGAGCCGCATGCCGGCGGTGAGGAACTCCTCACGAATGCGATCGTCGCTCGTGGGTTGTCCATCGAAGACACCCCAGTGAACGCTCCCGTCGGCGTCCCAAATCGAGCGGTAGATCACATCTTCAGCGTCGTAGTATTCTTCGGTCTCCTGTTCCGAAAACCGATGCCCGGTTACCATATGCTGCTCCTTTGGTGGGTTTGCTTGTGGGGTGCCCTAGATGCGGGGCGTACAGATTGTAGGGCGTCCTACTTGACGCAGCGATATTGGGACCAGCCCAACTCTTCGTCGTGCACCGCCTTCACCATTTTGAGATAGGCGTCGGACAGCGCGGCGAAGCGTTCTTTCCGTTCCGGGTCGTCGCCGGTGGCGGCCATCTGCGAAAGGCAGGAGTAGCTGCGGGCCAGATGGGAGGACAAGTCCCGAGCCTCCAGCACCGTGAAACCGGTTTCGCCAAGGGCGTCCATGTACGAATAGAAGTTGAAATCAGTGTCGAACAACAGCCGGTCGTACACGAAGGTGCGCGCTTCGTCGCTGATGTCAGGCCGGGGCTTGGTGAGGTCGTCAAAGACCATCACCCCACCGGGCTGCAATACCCGGTATGCCTCCTGCAGGGTCTTTGCCTTGTCAGGAATATGGTAGATGGTTGCCTGACTCCAGATGTGGGAGAAGGCCCCATCCGCAAACGGCAGTTCGGTGGCTGAAGCCTTGTGGAACTCCAAACGCGGCGCCAATTCGGGAGTGTCGCCCAAGGCTTCGATGGCATTCTCGATGCGCACGCCGCTCAGGTCTATGCCGGTAACGCGGGCTCCGGTGGTGCGGCATAGCCACACCGCGGTGTTGCCGTTGCCGCAGCCCAGGTCCAGCACGCGGGCCGAGCCATCGATGCCGGAGTCCTCCAGCATGATGGCGTTCAGCCGGTAGCAGGCATCGAGAAAGCCGTCCCGAACATTCGAACCGGAACCCGGTTCTGCCGGAGTGTCGAACACGCCCCAGTGCAGGCTGCCCTCCGCGTCCCAGAAGGAACGGTAGAGGGCGTCCTCAGCGTCGTAGTATGCTTCCGTCTCCCGCTCAGAAAAGCGCGACCGGCTCGGGCTGGGGTTCGGCATACATTGAACCTTCGATCCACTCCAGGAATTTGTTGTTCTCGTCGACGAGTACCATTCGCGGGTCCACTGGCTCGTCGGTGACCTCAAAAGCGAGGATGATGAGGCAGTCGCGTTCCTGGCACAGGCGAGCGGCCGCGCCCTGAACGGCGATGGTTCCGCTGCCGCGCTCGGCCGGCAGGGCGTAGGTTTCCCAGCGGGCGCCGTTGTTGATGTTCAGCACCTGGACCTTCTCGAACGCGACGATGTCCGTCTGTTCCATGAGATCACGGTCAATGAGGATGCTGCCCACGTATCCCAGATTGGCGCTGGTTACCCAACAGCGGTGGATTTTGGACCTCATAATCTCTCTCATACTTCGCTCCTCGTTTTCATGGCCAAGCTTGGTTGGCATTGGTGGATTTTTCGGCCTGGTTTTGGCCCGGTCTGCCGTCGCGGCCGCGCGGAGGCCAGAAAGCCTCGGATGCGAGTTGACGTGTTTAGACACGCGCCTACTCGTGGTCGGCGTTGCGGCGATAACCCGAATGGTCAGGCGTATGGCGGAACGCTACTTCCGCCGCCCGTTTTAGGCTGCGAGCAGCTAGGGCTCGCAGGGCAGCTGATGCTTGGCACGCCCGCGGATTGTGTCAACCCCGGTTGGGCGGCCGCATCCAAAAATGAGGTTGCGGCATCGCTCGTCCCGCGAAATGCGGGACTGCGTAGAGTACGGTTCCGACGATTGTCGGTGCGCTGATAGCGCGGCTGCACTCATGTTGCCTCCTTGTTTAAGGGCAGGTTAATGGGTGTGCAGACCTGCGTTTGACTGATCGGCAGTTTAGCCCGACAGGTGCGCGATGTCAAATCCGGGGGCAATTTTGAGCAAATTTCGCAAAAACTCGTAAGAAATTGCGTTTTGGGGATGGACAATAGTTGCATTATCATAAGTAGGCTGTGTCGGAAATAGCCAGCGTCGGACCGACAGGACGTCGAAAAACGGAACGGGTGCTACCGACCAGGCAACGGCGCCGGCGGCCAGGTGTCAAACAGGGCCAACTGTTGCGGTCCCAAGCGGACCACCTCGCCGAACGCCGAGCACCACCTCGGGATCCCCCGCACCGAGGCGTGCCCCTCGAAAACCGCGCCGTGCCCCTGGTAGCGGTGCCGCGACCAGAGCCATGCGTGCAGCAGTTCGTGCGCCAATATGCCTTCAATGCCCCGGCGGCCGGACCGTTGCAGCCTCGGATGAGATAGCCCGATCAGCCAGGAGCCGTCCGGGTAGCAGAAGCAGCGGCCGCCGGTGGCGGAAATTCGTTCCAGGACTATGGAGCCCGCCGGGATCTCCAACCCGTCCAGTTGGTACTTCTCCGCAACGTCGTTGACCCACGTGAGGTCGCTGAGCAGAACGCCCTTCGGCGCGGGCCACGACGGCAGTGATTGCGTAGGAAGCATGGGTAGTTGGGATGGATCGACGCCGGCAACAAGAACCGATTATGGCGTCAGAATAATCTTTCCGGTGGTGGCGCGACCGGCCAACTGGCGGTGGGCCTCGGGGGCTTCGGACAGCGGGAACAGGTGCTCCACGCGCAGGTTGAGTTCACCCGACTTGACCCACCCGAGGATGGCACCGGCGCGCTTCTCCAACTCCTCGCGGTTGGCGGTGTAGTCCCCCAGTCCGGGACGGGTCAGGAACTTGGAGCCGTTCCCCAGGACGCGGGGATCCATGGACTCCACTGGGCCGCTGGCCTGTCCGTAAAGTACCATGTACCCACGAGGAGCGAGACTGGCGATGCTGCGGTCGAAGGTGTCCTTGCCCACCGCGTCGTACACCACCTGCAGCCCCGCGCCGTTGGTGGCGTCGGCGATTTCCGCGGCAAAATCCTTCTCTGTATAAAGGATTACTTGGTCCGCGCCGGCTCCCCGGGCTAGCTCAGCCTTGGCCTCAGTGGAGACGGTGGAGTACACATAGGCGCCGAGAGCCTTGCACATCTGGATGAGCAGCAGACCGACCCCGCCAGCCCCGGAATGGACGAGCACCCGGTCTCCGGCCTGGACGCGGTAGGTGTCGTAGCAAAGGTAGTGCGCGGTCATCCCCTGGAGCATGGCAGCCGCCCCGTCGCGGGCGGACAGGCCGTCGGGCATCTTGATCAGGCGCCAGGCCGGAACCAGCGCCTGCTCCGAGTAGGAACCGGGGTGGCTGCAATAGGCGACGGTATCCCCTACGGCCACGTTGCTAACGCCAGGACCGACCTCCCGCACGACGCCGGCGCCTTCTACGCCCGCGACCCACGGCAGCCCGGGCGGGTTGGCTCCCATGCGGCTGTATATGTCAGTGAAGTTGACCCCCACGGCCTGGATATCCACGACGGCCTGATCGGGTCCCGGGACTGGGGTCCGGCAGGTCGACGTATTTCATTACCTCGGGTCCGCCGTATTCGGTAATCTGGATGGCTTTCATGGCAACGGCCTCCGCAGTTCCTCGAGTTCGATTGCGGTAGCATAGCATAGGGCCCTTGGGCGTCCGCAACGCGGAAATGTCAGCAATCGACCCCCGATCGCCCGCCGACCCAAGGGTGCGGCGGCGGTCGCCAGACCTTGGCAATTACGATGCCCTGGCAACGACGGCCGGCACTCCCGGCAAGTCGCCAACGGAGCCGTCGCCACCTGTTTGCAGCCGGGGCGATCGGGGCTTTCCGCGTGTGCATGACCCTGAGTGGTCCCCCATGAACCACCGCGGGGAGACGCGGCTAGACGATCTGGAAATGCGCCTCCGTCGGAACGCAATCAACCCCGTTGATGGGAACCATGTCCTGGGGGCACGCCGAGAACGCGATGACGCAGTCCGTCTCGGCGCGCAGGGTCAGGTGGTCCCCCGGACGGGAAACCGGCGGCTCGAAGCTCACTGCGCCGCCGGACCCCACCGGGATGTTCATGAACAGGTTCCACGGGCTGGGCGTCTCGGGCGGTGTCAACCCAAGCTCCGCCAGCGCCGACGCCAGGTTATCGGTGCAGTTGTCGTGGTATTCCTCGCAGCCCAGCAGTTCGTAGCGATAGCGGTCACACGCCGCCAGCAGCGTATCGTGTATCCCTCCCGAAGTGTCCTCCACCAGGGTCAGGATCGGCCGCCGCCGGTTGGTAACCATCGACTGACCAACCTGGGGCATGATGCGGGCCAACGCGGTACGGGAATGCTCCATGGACATGAACTCGGTCAGATCAGGTCGGGCGAAGGCCCAGGTGTCGACCACCTGCTGACCGTGGGTGTTGATCACCCTCACGCTTTGGCCCTTGGCCATCAGGGCAGCCTTCCCGCTTCGTGCGGGGATGGCTATCAGGGATGCTGTTGTCATATGGAGCGCCTCCAATTCGGTCCCGGTGGCATCGGAGCGCAGAGCGAGCCGGCGCAAAGTTGCCCCATGATATGTCCGCCGCCGTGCGCCGGCAAATGGCGGCACGCTGCCAGTAAACCTCTCGTCTTCCTCGCGCCGGCCATGCCCGCACCCACGCCCGCGCCCACAGCGTCCTTCCTAACTGTGCGGGGTTCCCCGGTGTTGGAGGCATCTCGCGGAGCATCCGTTGTCCTTCATATCGCGCAAAAAGCGGGTCGAAGCCGGGGTCGTTACCGAGTCGAACCCGGGGTCGCTACCGAGAGGTCGGACGTGCGCCCGGGCCACTGCTACGTTTGCCCTCGCTCCGGCCAAATGCTATATTGTTTGGAGTTTGCAGCCTGAGCCGGCGCCAAAACCGGAGGGATAAACAGTTGACCATCGACCAGCACCTCTCGATTTCGGAAGCGATCACTAGGTTTGTAGAACATCTAAAAGATGGCAAGCAGGTGATGCAGGGCCAGCAAGAATTGTTGCGCTTTCAGGCCAGGATCGGCAAAGACAAATCAATGGCAACGCTTCATGCCATAGAGGTCGGCGAATACGCCAAGTGGACTACGGAGAACGTCGAAGACGCCGCGACGCGGCTCGATCCCGTAAAGAAATTTCTGACCTTCGCCAACAAGCGCGGTTGGACGGAAATCAGCCTGGCGCGATACGCGGCGGCGCCTCGCCGGAACCGTCGTCGGTTCGCAGGAGGCCAGTCAGGATCGCGGGGGGCCGGTACCCCGAGCGCCCGGCTGAGCCAGGAACGTCACATTGAGTTGCAGGCCGAATTGCAGCGCTTGCGGGAAGAGGTTCCGCAGGTACGCGAAGCGATACGGCTGGCTCGCAGCGACGGCGACATCAGGGAAAACTCCCCTTTGGATGCGGCGCGCGAACAACAGCAGATGGTGGAGCGGCGTATCCGGCAACTCGAGAACGACCTGGTCAATGTGGAGATCGTGGACGCCGCGAACGCCGACACGGAACGCGTCAGCATCGGTTCGCGCGTGACCCTGCACGATATCGCCTCGGAGCAGAGCCGGGTCTTTACCCTGGTGGACGTGCGCGAGGCCGACGTTTCGGCGGGGAAAATATCCACGGTATCGCCGATCGGCCAGGCCCTCATGGGACGCAGCGCCGGCGAGGAAGTGACGATCACCACGCCCCGGGGAGCGATGGAATACCGCATCGAGGGCATCGGCGGATAGCAACTGCCGGAATTGGATCGCGCCGGAACCGGGTCGCACCGGAACTGGATCGTAAATGAGTGGGGCGGGTCGTAAAACCCGCCCCACTGCATTTAGCCGTTGATGTCGGTCACGGCCTGGAGGATTGTCTCCGGGTCCGGCAGTGTGCCCGGTTGGTATGTCTCGCGATACCGGATCACGCCGTCGGGATCAACGATGATCACGGCGCGCGTCCCGGCGCCACGCTCCTCGTTCCAAAGGTCGTATGCGGTGGTTGTCTGGCCCTTGGGATGCCAGTCGGATAGTTCCGGATAGGGGAGCCCGCCCATGGTGGTGGTCCAGGCCCGGTGAGCGGCTACGTGGTCACAACTGATGCCCAGCACCTGGGCATTCAACTCCTGGAACCGCGCGTTGAAACGGCGGAAGGAGGTGGCCTGGTCCGTTCAACCGCTGGTGAAGTCCAGCACGTGGAACGACAGGACCACGGTCTGGTTCCCGCGGTAAGTGCTCAGCGAGATGTCTCCATCGTTGGGAGACGAAAGCGTGAAGTCCGGCGCGGTATCGCCGATTTGACCTGGCATCTGGCTTCTCCTCGGTTGCGCCGGGTGGGCGGCGCCATGCGGCCACCGTCCCTCCGGCGGGGTTGGCAGCGATTATACCCCACGCCGCGAAAGCCTGGCACAACCGGCAACCCACCGGCGCCGCACCCCAGGATCAGCCGCACCTAAGCGCCATTCAATATTCCCCAATGTTACCCGATGTTCCTGGATGTCATTGCCAGCGCAGCGTGGCAATCTCGTCGCGCCAGCACGGCCCCGCGCCGAAAGCCGTCGCTTCGCCCGGTGACCGCAACAATCCCATGACCCACCGCCGTACCCGGACCAGGGCTCACGAACCCTGCGTGCTATACTCCGCGACGCCGCAACGCGCGGCCGGGAGACCTGATTGGAAGTGGTACTCGACCGGGGGATTTATCTCCCGGAGACCGGATTGTGGCTTGATGCCCTGCGCAAGCAGGAAACCTCGGTCATCTCCCACGCCCACTCGGATCATACGGCACGACACCTCCGTCCGGTGCTCACGCCCACAACCAGGTTGCTGCTGGGCGATTACCTGAAGCGGTCCGACCCGGTTGAGTTGGAGTTCGGTCAGACCCTCGACCTCCCGGACTGCGCCATCACCCTCTATCCGGCTGGTCACTGCCTGGGATCCGCGCAAACCCTGGTGGAGAGCAAGGTCACCGGCGAACGCCTGCTATATACCGGAGACCTGCGGACACAGCCCTCGCCCATTAATGAAACGCACCAGCAGGTTCCCTGCGACGTGCTGGTGATTGAAAGCACTTACGGTCGTCCCGATTACGTTTTCCCGCCCCAGCGGGAGTCCATCGGCACCGCCATCCGCGTGGTGGCCCAATGGCTCGAACAGGGTGCCCTGCCGGTGGTCATGGGTTGGAGATTGGGCAAGGCGCAGGAGGCGTTGTACCACCTGCTGACCGCCGGCTTTCGCGTCGCGTGCGAGGAGAGCGTGTACGAAATTGTGCGCCGGTACGAGGCCGCCGGCGTGGAGTTCCGCGGCGAGTTCCGCGTGTGCGACGAAGACATCGAGGACGGCGAGGTACTGCTCTTTCCGCCGGGCAAGAAATCCCGGGAAACCGTCAACCGGATCAAACCCGAGCGCCAGGCTGTCCGGTACCTGGAGCTAACGGGCTGGGCCGCCGGCGCCGGGGTCAAGCCCTGGGGTCGCGGCCGACCGGGCGACGCCAGCCTGCCCTACAGCGACCACGCCGATTTCAACGACCTGGTCGCCTACGTGGAGGCGGTGGCTCCCCGGCAGGTGTACACCGTTTTCGGGTTCCCTGACCTGGCGGATCACCTCCGCCGCAAGGGCTACACCGCCATCCACCTGGGGAAGAACGCCACCCCAGCGGACCGCGCCGTCCAGATGCCCCTGCTGTAGCCTGGGCGCCACGCGGACGCGCGGCCCCATCGGCTGGAATTATTCGCCCGGCCCGCGCAACAGGTCCAGGTACTTGTAGCCGGAGCCGGTGTTCAACAGCACCACTTCCTCGTCGGCCCTCTATGCTCCCGTCGGCCATGAGGCGCTGCAAACCCACCAGCGTCGCCGCGCCCTCGGGACACGCGATCACGCCCTCGGTGGAGGCCAGCGTGTACATCGCCTCGATCATGTCCTCGTCACTGACCGCCAGCGCGCCGCCGCCGGTCTCGCGCAATGCCTGGATGATCAGGTAGTCGGCAAAGGGCCCCGGCACGCGGAGGCCATCGGCCTTGGTGGTGGCGTTGGGCCATGGGTCGGCGGTGTCGGTTCCGTCGTTCCAGGCCTTGACGATGGGTTGGCAACCCTCCGCCTGCACCGCATAGAAGCGAGGCAGTTTGCCCTCGATCCAACCCAGCTCCAGCAATTCCTGGAACCCCTTGTGCATCCCAATGATGCCCGTGCCGCCGCCGGTGGGATAGACAATGGCGTCGGGCATCCGCCAGCCGAGCTGATGGGCGATCTCCAGTCCCATGGTTTTTTTGCCTTCGGCGCGGCACGGTTCCTTGAGGGTGGACAGGTCGAACAGACCCTGCTCAGCGGCCACGGACACGGCGATGCGGCCGGCGTCGCTGATCAGGCCATCGACCAAGTTCAGCTCGGAACCGGCTACGATGGACTCCTTTTTGTTGGATGAAGGAGCGTCCTGGGGCATGAAGACCTTGACCGGTGTGCCGGCCCGGGCGCAGTAGGCCGCCGCCGCCCCCGCGGCGTTGCCCGCTGAGGGCATCGTGAACCCCCGGGCTCCAACCTCGACCGCCTTGGACACCGCAGCGGCGATGCCTCGTGCCTTGAAAGTGCCGGTGGGATTGAGGCCCTCCTCCTTGATTAGCAGCCGGCGGATGCCGACCTGTCGGGCGAGCGTCGCAGCTTCGAGGAGCGGAGTGCCGCCTTCTCCCAGGGTGATGATCTCCCCGGGGTCGGTTACGGGCAGCAACTCGTTGTACCTCCACATATTCGCGGGTCGGCCGTCGAACACCGAGCGCTGTACTTCCCGCCCCAGGCGGGGCAGGTCATAGCGGACGAAGAGGACTTTGCCGCAGCACTCGCTGACGGTCGCGAGCCCGTCGTACGGATACTCCTTGCCGCAGATGGTGCACTCGAGATGGTCTATATAACTGAAGGAGGTCATCCGTTTACTCCGGGTCGTGATGGTTCTGATCATCGATGGCTAAGACCACCGGATTGGAGATAGCCGGCCGGTTCAATCCCAACATGTCGCGAACCGTTTCGTTGGTGCGCATCAGCCTCACCGCTGAGGTGGGGTACTGGGGGTTGTTGGGGTTGGGAACATCGTGCCGTTCAATGATACCTTCATAAAGCCATTCTTCCACCAGCTGGCGGCATTCGAATTCGTTCCAGGCGATCCCCCAGTCCAGCATCCACTGGTTGCACAGCATACTGTATCCCACGAAGTTCATTCGGGATTCCAGCCTGCCCATTTCGCGGACGAAAACCTGGCGCACATCCTGGGCCGCTTCAGCCTGTTCCTCCGGCGTCGGCAGTTGGATTTCCACGTCACCATGTTCGGCCAACTGGAAACCCAGTTCGGCTTCCAGCGGGAACAACGGTGCGACCGCGAGCATATCACGGGCGACCGACTGGCTGAAAGCGCACAGAATTACGCGCCGGCCCATGCCCCGGGCCCGGTCGACCAGCACCTGGTAGTCGGAATCTCCCGAACCGAGAATCACCACGTGACAGTCTTCCCGATCTCGCAGCCAGTCATAAACTTCCAGCAGGATGGAGGGGTCGCTCCGGTCTTTTCCGGCCATGGTCCTGGGCGCGTGATAAAGCGTTATACCGGCTTGCGTGAACGCGGTGCCGTCTTCCGGTCTGAGGCTCCAGTCTCCAAATGCTTTCCCGCCCAATACCTCTCCAAATACCTGTCCCACATTGGTCATGGCTCCGTACAACGCTTGAGGAGTTACGATTTTCTGATAGAGTTGAGCCCCGCGACGTATGTTTTCCCAATCGATGGCGATTAATACTCCATTAGACGAATCTTCCAACTGGTCACCTCCATGTGCAGTCATTGGGTGAATTATACCTATCATCTCATCCGTCTGTGCGCGAGTGATGGTCGGTTGGCCTATATGGCCGGAATGGTTGGCGCAGGCGCGCAGACAGTTGTTCAGATAGTTGTCGCCGTGGCAAGACCTTCTTTCCAATGACCTTCTTTCCGATGACCCCTTTCCAATGGAAGATGAACCAATGGAAGACGGAAATTGGTGTGCAGCCTGCGAACCCGGGCGCAATGCTTGTTGTTTCGGAGCACAGTTTTGGCCACCGGCATCGCCGGCTAAACCAGCCATCCGACGCGTTACCAGCGGAATGGACCGGCGAGCGTGAATGAAGCTCGGTGAAAGCCGTTGATCGTGTTAATCGACCTGACAACCATGCCTCAAGTCTCTTGGACGATGGTGACAGCTCGCCGTCGCTGCGCAGGCAATTCCACGCTCCCTCTCGTAGGCGCTCGGCCAGACCGATGCAGCCAACGGCACTTGCCGTGACCGTCGGGTCGATGCTCGTCGGCTGTGGCGGTTGAGACTCTGGCAGTTGCGGCGGCTTCGTTCCGTGGAGGAAAGATCATCTGAGCCGGCCAGTTAGCGGGACATCGGATAACGCTCATTGTATCCGAGTTGGGCCGATGCGGCACTGGCGCCGCACCATGCTAGAATTTACCGTTTGACTATTGGAGGTGATGACCAGATGCCCGACTACGAACTTATCCTGCACGAAGCCGACCCGGACAGCGCGATCACTAAAATCACCCTTAACCGGCCGGACCGCCTGAACGCTCTCAACGACCAGATGCAGATCGAGATCGCCGATGCCGTGGCAACGGCCGACGCCGATCCCGACACCCGAGTGGTAATCATTACCGGCGCCGGCCGCGCCTTCTGCGCCGGCGGCGATATGAACCAGCTCGGCGGATCGTCGAACGGCAGCGGCAGCGGATGGACGTCGGGTAACGCCGACCAGGTGCGGCGGAGTTTCAAGCTGGCCCAGGACATGATCCTCGGCGTGCAGCGCTGCGAAAAGCCGGTGATCGCCATGGTCAACGGAGTGGCCACCGGCGCCGGCCTTGACTTGGCCTGCGCCTGCGACATCCGCACCGGCACCGCGAGGTCCAGGTTCATGTCAGCGTACGTGCGCATCGGGCTGTTTCCCGGTTTTGGCGGCACCTGGCTGTACCCCCGGACGCTGGGCAGCCTCGGCCGCGCTGCGGAGATGCTGTTCACCGGAGACTTCCTGGAGGCCGACGAAGCGCACCGCCTCGGGTTCCTCAACCGCTTGGTTGACGAGGATGAGCTGGAAGCGACCACCATGGAACTGGCCGGGCGGATCGCCGCCGGACCTCCCATCGCAATCCGGCTTTCCAAGCTGATGCTGTACAAGGGCCTGGAATTCGACCTCGAAACGGCGATGAAAATGGCGGCGGCCGGCGAGACGATCACCCTCACCTCGCAGGACCATGTTGAGGGAGTGGAGGCGTTCCGGGAGAAACGAACGGCAGAGTACCGGGACAGCTAGCCCGGGGGCGTCCAAAGCGACGCTCCGCTAATTGGCGCGCGAATCGACGGGCGCCTCCCTGGACGCCGGCATCGTGGCCGCTTCCGGTAGTCTTCCCGCGCCTCTGAGGATACTCGGTCACTCGGCGATGATAGAATTGCGGGCGTTATGACTACGCATGTTGACAACAGCCTTTCCCCCCACGGCGGAACGCTCGTCGAGCGAGTACGGCCACTGACCGGAATCCGCGATGTCGCCGGTCTGCCAACCATCGAGGTGCGCGAGCAGATCGTTCACGAGTGCGTGAACATCGCCTACGGGTTCTTCTCCCCGCTGACCGGATTCATGGGTAGCGCCGACGTGGCGGCGGTGTCCGCAACGATGCGGCTGGCCAGCGGCTACGTCTGGCCCATCCCAATCGTGCTGGACGTCGCCCAGGCCGAGTTGGAAAACGCCGGCGTGTCCGTGGGCGACACGGTGCTGCTGACCCACCTCGGCAACCCGCTGGCGACCCTCGACGTGTCCGAAATATTCGCGGTTGACCTCACCGAGATGGCGCGACAGGTGTACACGACCACCGACCCGGACCATCCGGGGGTGCAGCGCACGCTGGGATACGCCGACCGTTTCGTAGCGGGAGACATCACGCTGGTTTGCGAGCCGGTGATCAGTCCTCCCTTTGACCGCTTCTGGCGGACCCCGGTGCAACTTCGCGCGGAGTTGGCGGCGGCCGGATGGCAGCGCGCCGTGGCGCACCAGACCCGCAATGTGCCCCACTCCGGCCACGAGTACCTGATGAAAGGGGCCTTCATGGAGGCCCGCGCCGACGGCGTGCTGGTGAGCGCGGTCATCGGCGAAAAGAAAGAGGGCGACTACATCGACGAGGCCATCGTGCTGGCCCACGAGAACCTGCGCACCCACGGATTTTTCCGGTACGGCATCCACCGGACCACCGCGCTGCTGTGGGACATGCGCTACGCCGGGCCACGCGAGGCCGTGTTCCACGCCCTGGTGCGCAAGAACCTGGGATGCACGCACCATATGTTCGGCCGCGACCACGCCGGCGTGGGCGACTACTACGGCCGGTACGCTGCCCACGAGATCTTTGACGAACTGCCGGACCTGGGCATTCGCTCCGTGCTCACGCTGGAGTGGTGGTACTGTCCCACGTGCGGCGGCGTGGCCTACGAGGGCATCTGCGGCCATCCGGACACCAAGCAGGACCTGGCGGGACGGTTGATCCGGAGCATCATCTCCGGCGGAACCGAGCCGGCGCCCCAGACCCTGCGCGCGGAAACCCTGGCGTTGGTTCGCCAATGCGCCGAGGAGTACGGTTTCGGCTCTCCCTTCGTCACGGAGCAATACCTGACCGAGCGGACCCCGGTGCTGACGGTGCCCGCGGCCGCGTAAATGGTCGGAAACCACGCGGGCCGGCAGCCCAAACTTGGAGGACACCACACATGGTGCTGGAATCAGGACGGATCACGGAAGCAGAGCTGGATCGGCTGCGCGGCCGGCTTGGATCATTCAACCGGCCGCGACAGTACGGCGTCGGTCTGTTCAACGAGGACGCCTCCCGCAGCGCGATCCGGCACTTCTGCCAGGGCATCGGCGACCCTAACCCCCTGTACTGGGACCGCTCGTACGCCCAAGCCAGCAGGTACGGAACGATCATCGCGCCGCCGTGCTTCCTGTATAGCGTGTACTGGTGCTCCGGGCGCACCGGCGGGCTGCCGGGCGTCCACGGGTTCCACGCCGGCAACGACTGGGAGTGGTTCCGGCCGATCTACCTGGGCGACGAGATCAGCGTCCAGGAGCAGTTCACCGGGTTGGAGGAGAAGGAAAGCGAGTTCGCCGGGCGCATCGTGATCCAGTCCAGCGTCACCGACTACTACAATCAGCGCGGGGAGATCATCGCCAAGACCAAGGGCTGGCAGATACGCGCGGAGCGGAGCGCCGCCCGCGAACGGCAGAAGTACAGCTTCGAGCCCTACCAGTATTCACGGGAAGAGCTGGAGACGATCCAAAACGCCGTGCTCAACGAGGAGATCCGGGGCAACAACCCCCGCTGGTTCGAAGACGTGCGGGTGGGCGATGAGCTGACTCCCGTGGTCAAGGGGACCGTTGAGCCACGGCGACATCACCGCCTTCGTGGCCGGCTGCATCGGCGGCATCAGCCACGGCATCCAGCTGCGGGAGATGCTGCGGCACCCTTCGTGGGGGTTCACTGACCCGAACACCGGCGCGCAGGAGGCCATCATCCGCGTCCACGACATCCAGGAGGCGGCGGAGTCCGCCGGTCTTCCCGGAGCCTACGACTATGGGTGCCAGCGCTGCTGCTGGATGGGCAACCTGCTGACCAACTGGATGGGCGACGACGGCTTCCTGAAGCGGATGCACGTGGAACTGCGGCGGTTCAACGTTGTCGGCGACACCACCTGGTGCAAGGGGAAGGTCACCGGCAAGCGGGTCGAGGATGGCGAGTACCTGGTGGACATGGACATCTGGGGCGAGAACCAGCGCCAGCAGGTGACCACGCGCGGCGACGCCACGGTGCGTCTGCCGTCCCGCGAGGCCAACGGCGGCTGGCCGTAATCGGTCAGGGAGGCGAGACCATGACTCAGCCCAAATCAAAGCCGTCAACCAGATTGACCGGAGCCGATTACATGGGCCGCACGCCGCCATCGCATCGCGGCGCGCGGTACCAGCTTATAGAGGGAGAACTCGTCAAAATGGCCGGGCCCAATGACCCGCACCAAGTTTTCACCGGAAGATTTTATATTCAGCTCACACTCCAAACGGATGCCTTGGACATTGGTGAAACCCGCGTCGCGCCCTACGATGTGGCCATCGACGAACACAACACCTTTCAGCCCGACGTGCTATTCGTATCGAACGAGCGACTTTATATTTTCGATGATGCCAATCACGGCATCAGTGGGGCACCTGATGTAGTGGTCGAAGTCCTGTCTGATTCCACTCGCCGTCGCGATTTGGAAGTCAAACTGCCCGTGTACGCTCGCAACGGCGTCCGCGAAATGCTCGCGGTGGATCTCAACACCGAATCGATTACCAAGTACGTCGGAGGCGGGCAATCCATGACGCTCGCCACGGTGTATGGGCCCAATGACGTTCTGACCTCCGAGGCCATGCCCGGCGTCGCCATCGACCTGGGGCCGATATTCGCTCGAATAAGGAGCGTAGTTCTGCCCGACGGCTAGCCCAGGTACTGCTCGGCGGCGCGGGCGAAGCCGTCCATCGCCCCTTCAAGTACGCGGTCTTCCAGGCAGTACGAGATGCGGAAGTGGCCCGGCGTTCCGAACCCTTTGCCGGGTACGACCAATACGTTGTATTCCTGCAGGGCTGCGACAAACGCTTCGTCGTCGGCCAGCGGCGAACGCGGGAACAGGTAGAACGCGCCCTGGGGTTTTACCACCGAGTAGCCCATGCCGGTGAGCCGGTCGTAGAGAAAGTCCCGCTTGCGCTGGTACTCGCCCACGTCCACCGACGCGTCCTGCACGGCGCGAACCACGTGCTGCATCAGGGCCGGCGCGTTCACAAACCCCAACACCCGGTTGCAGAAGACCAGGCCGTCGAACAGCTCGGCCTTGCCGGCGTAACCCGGGTGGATGGCGATGTGCCCGATGCGCTCGCCCGGCAGCCCCAGGTCCTTGGCATGGGAGTTGACCACGATGGTCCGCTCGTAGTGCGGGAAGACCTGCGGGTAGGTCATATCGTCATAGATGATGCGCCGGTATGGCTCGTCGCTGATGATGAAAATCTCCGAGCCGTACCGCTCCTCGGCCTGCGTGATCGCGTCGGCAAGGGCGGCGATGTCGGTCTCTGGGTAAACCACGCCGGAGGGGTTGTTGGGTGAATTGAGCATCACGGCCCGGGTTCTCGGTGTGATGGCCGCTTCGACGGCGGCAACGTCCAGGTCAAACTCCGGCGTCGTCGATACGATCACCGGTACGCCGTTGTGGTTCTGGATGTAGTAGATGTACTCGGCAAAGAAAGGCGAAAGGATGATCACTTCGTCCCCGGCATTGAGGATCGCGCGAAGGACCACGTTGGCCGCGCCGGCCGCGCCGCAGGTCATGACGATGTCGCCCGCGCCGAAGGGCAGACCCGTCTCACTCGCCAGGGTGTCGGCGACGGCCTGGCGTGTCTCGGGATAGCCGGCGTTGGGCATGTAGCGGTGCATCCCCGGCGCGGGCGATTGCGCGATGCGGAGCAGCTCGGCGTGGAACGCGGCCGGCGGCTCCATGATCGGGTTCCCCAGGGAGAGGTCAAAAACATTGTCCTCGCCGTATTGCGCTTTCAGGGCGATACCCACCTCAAACATGCGACGGATCCAACCGCCCTCTTGCATGGAACGGTTGACGTATTCAGAGATGGGCATGGCAAAACTCCCGGGACGCGAGTGTGGAAACGGGGACCATTATAGCCAATGACTATGGCCGGGCATTGCCGATCCAGCCGGCGGCACGCTCCGCGACCATGATCGCGGTGGCGTTGGTGTTGGCCCGCACCACGTTGGGGCAAATCGACAGATCGACGACGCGCAGGTTCTCAACACCGTGCACGCGGCAGTACTGATCGACGACGGCCATCGCGTCATCGGCCGGCCCCATGCGGCAGGAACCCGAGGTATGAAAGGTGGTGAACACGTTGCGCAAGAGCCAGTCGTCCAGCGCATCGTCGGAAACGACTTCCTCAGCGGTGGGCGACACCGGATCGCCGACAGTGGACGCGAACGACGGTTGGTCCAGGATGCGCCGACACAGGCGGACCGCTTCCCGCAGCCGGTGGCGGTCCCAATCGCTGCGCAGGTAGCGGTAGTCGATCAGTGGCTTGTCGGAGGGATCGGCCGAGGCCAGGCGCAATTCACCCGCGCTGTCGGCGGATTGCAGGATGCAGGTCATGCGCAGCGTGGGCTGGTCTGCGCCGGGTCCGCTGCCCAATGGACTCGGGCCCGATGCCACGTTGTTCACGTAAACGTGCATGTCGTTGCGGGAGTCGGAGTTTGCGGTGGTGTAGCGCAGCAGGGTCTGAATACGCGAACCCGTAAAGCCCGCAGAGTCGCTGGCGATGTGGTCGGGATGCAGCGCGTTGTCCACGTACACCAGCGGGTGGTCGCGCAGGTTTTGGCCGACGCCGGAAAGGTCCCGCACCACGGGTATGCCCAGTTCCCTGAGATGGTCTGCGGGACCGACGCCCGACAGCATCAGCAACTGCGGCGATGCGATGCCGCTCGCGCAGATGACGACTTCACGGCCATACGCTGCGAACACCTCGCCGCCGCTCTCAGCCTCAACACCGACGGCGGTGAGCCCGTCGAACAGCACGCGCCGCGCGGCCACGTTGCCCCGTATGGTGAGGTTGAGCCGATGCCGCGCCGTGGATAGATAGGCCAGCGCGCAGCTCATCCGGATCCCGGCCGGGTTGTTCATCGGCGCGGGACCAACGCCCGACGCGGATGGATGGTTCATATCCCCGTCCTCGCTGTAGCCCATGTCAACACAGGCCCGGACGAAGGCGTGCTGGAAGGGATGCCAGGCATCGCGCGGGGCGCGAACCACCGGGACCGGCCCGTCGCTGCCGTGGAAATCGTCCTGGACGTCCGCGTCCGTTTCCAGCTTGCGGAAGAACGGAAGCACGTGGCGGTAGGCCCACTGGTCGTTGCCCTGGGCGGCCCACGCGTCGTAGTCCTCGGGAAGGCCGCGCAGGAACACCTGGCCGTTGACGGCGCCGGAGCCGCCCATGACGCGGCCGCGGGCGATCTGGACCGGCTCGGCTTGGCGTTCGGTAGCCGTGGCCTGGTAGGACCAGTTGAAGGCCGCTCCCGGCGTCGATGCCTCCTGGCTGGTGCCGTCGCGGAGTTCTGCCGGCCACTGTTCGAAGTCGCCGTAATCGGGGCCAGCCTCCAGCAGCAGGACGGAGCGGCCCGGATCCTCGGACAGGCGGGCGGCAAGTGTGCACCCGGCCGACCCTCCGCCCACGATTATCACGTCGTATTGCATGTCATCACCATATCGGTCATTCCGCGCGGTTCTGGGTCGCCAATCCCAGCCTGAAACTGGCCGGCGCGAACCGCCAATAAGGGCCGGCCACGCGGTGCCAAGGGTACATCAGCCAGGGTCGCGGCACCAAGCGTTGCGCTGAAGGAAACAGGCGCTGTGGTATCATCGGGTACGAAAAATTTGCCTGCCGGGCACGGTCCGGCCGGCCGTTGAGGTGCGGTTTTGCCTGCTAATGACACTGTTTATGACGTAATCGTCGTGGGGGCCGGAAACGCCGCGCTCTCCGCCGCCATCGCCGCCCGCGAGCAGACCCAGTCGGTCCTGGTGGTAGAGAAAGCTCCCGAGTATTTCCGTGGCGGCAACACCTACTTCACCGGCGGGATCATCCGCTTCGCCTACAACGGGCTGGATGACATCAAGGGGCTCATCCCCGACATGTCCGAGACCGAGGCCAACTCCATCGAGGTCGGCCAGTACACCGAGAACCAGTTCTACGACGACATGATGCGGGTCACCCACGGTCTGTCTGACCCTGAACTCGCCGAGATCCTCGTCAGCCAGTCCTATCCCACGATGAAGTGGCTGCAGGAACACGGGGTGCGCTTCGTTCTGTCCTTTGGTCGCCAGGCGTTCCGCGACGGCGACAAGTTCCGGTTCTGGGGTGGCCTCGTGGTCGAGGCGGTGGGAGCCGGCAAGGGCCTGTCGGACCAACAGTTCGACGTGTGCCAACGACTGGGCGTCGAGGTGCGGTATGCCACCGAGGGAGTGTCGTTGATCCAGGACCAGAAGGGAAACGTGGCCGGCCTGCGCGTCAAAGGCCCGGACGGCTTTGACGACATCGCCGGGCGCGCCGTCGTGCTGGCCGCCGGCGGGTTTGAGGCCAACGCCGAGATGCGTTGCCGTTACCTGGGACCCGGCTGGGAGACCGTGAAGGTTCGCGGCATCCCTTACAACACCGGCGACGGCATCAAGATGGCGCTGGACGTTGGTGGGCAGTCCTATGGGCACTGGTCGTCGTGTCACGCGGTGGCCTGGGACATGAACGCTCCCTCCTTCGGCGACCGCACGATCACCGAGCTGTTCCAGAAGCACTCCTATCCCTTCGGCCTGATGGTGAACCTTAACGGCGACCGGTTCCTGGACGAGGGCGCGGACTTCCGCAACTACACCTACGTCACCTACGGACGCGCGCTGATGGATCAGCCCCAGGGTCTATGCTTCCAGGTCTTCGACGAGAAGGTGAAGCACCTGCTCCGAGACGAATACTGGATCCCGCAGGCCACCACGGCCGAGGCCAACTCCATCGAGGAGTTGGCGCGCATGCTGGACATCGACCCGGCGGGCCTGGTCAAGACCGTCGAGGAGTACAACGCCGCCGTCCGCCAGGACATCGAGTACAACCCGACGGTCAAGGACGGACGCCGCACCGAGGGCCTGGCGGTCGACAAGACCAACTGGGCCCAGACCCTGGACACGCCGCCGTATCGCGGCTGGGCCGTGACCACCGGCATCACCTTCACCTTCGGCGGCGTCAAGGTGAACAACCGCGGCCAGGTGGTGACCAACGCCCAGGACCCGATCCCCGGCCTGTACGCCGCCGGCGAGATGGTGGGCGGCCTCTTCTACCACAACTACCCCGGTGGCAGCGGCCTCAGCGCGGGCATGGTGTTCGGTCGCCTGGCCGGCAACAGCGCCGGCCAGGACGCGCTGGCGTTGAAGGACGTGTAGAGCCGTGGGGTCGGCCACGCTCTATATAAGATAACGTCACAGACGGGCACGAAATGACCACCTTCAACACGGTGGAAGACCTGATGCAGGTGCTGGACGCAAATCCGCACCTGCTTGAGGGTTTGCGCTCCCGGTTGCTGACACGGGAGCTGCTGGAGTTGCCGGAAACCATGGCCCGGCTGGCCTCCCGGGTTGACCAGATTGCAGCGCAGATGGCCGAGATCACAGAGCGGGCGGATCGACTCATTCAGCGGATGGATCGGACTGCGGAGCAACTGGGGCGGCTCCGGGATGATGTTGGGACGGTCAAAGGCATGGCAACCGACGGCCTGGCCCACCGAGTAGCTCCCGCCATTGCCAACGCGATGGAACTGCGCCTCACGAAAAATCTCGACGGAGCGGACTTGTCGGCTTTGACCGCCGGACAGGATATTTCGGCCATATCACAGAATGCGTTGGAGAGTTTCCTGTTGTCTGACTTGATCATGGAAACGACTGATGGGGATGGTCAGACGTTTTATGTGGCGGTCGAGTCGTCGTACACTGCGGATGATCGAGACACTCGCCGAGCCATCCGAAACGCTGAATTTATGACCAGGTTCACGGGCCAACCCGCGCGGGCAGCGATAGCCGCGGTGCGTACAGACTGGGATATCGATGCACAGATTGCGTCTGGTGCGGTGTACTGGTATAGGTTGCCAGCTCGTTTGTTGCGAGGGATATGATTTTTCGGCTCATCCATCGTCTCTGAGGCGTTGAGCCTGTCGGCAAATCTCTGGTTAGCCGCATAGAATTCTGCTTATACAGAAGACAGCAGATTGACGATGTCGGGGTAGCTGATACGCCACACCGGCATTTTTTGTACATGGGCAATTACTCGCAAAAAATGTGGCAACTTGCGGAAAATAACATAATGTTTCGCCTAAATTCCCTTGACAACCTTGATAAACTTGTGGAACAAGATACGGAGATGGCGTGTACAGACTATGGTCCACAGAGACGGCAAGCCGCTGCTGACGTTCACGGATATGTTCTGCGGCATCGGGGGGGGTTCACTTAGCCGCCGCCCGTTTGGGAATGAACTGTGTTTTTGCTGGCGATATTGACGCGGAGGCCCGGCGAGCCTACCAGCAAAATTTTCACATCGTTCCCGCCGGAGATATTACCGAGATTGATCCGGGCTCGGTGCCTGACCACGAGATCCTCTTGGCCGGTTTCCCTTGTCAACCGCCCAGCATCATAGGCGATATGCGGGGCTTCGACGATTCTCGCGGCAATTTGATCTTTGATGTGGCCGCCATTATTGACGCCAAGCGACCGTCGGCGTTCGTCCTGGAAAACGTGCGGCAGCTGTTGACTCATAATATCGGACGGACGATAGAAGCGATTATCTCCGCACTGAACGGGCTTGGTTACCGTGCTGATTGGAGCGTGCTGAACGCTCTGGACTTTGGCTTGCCGCAGAAACGTGAACGAACAATCATCGTGGGGTTTGAAGACCACTCCATCCCCTATGAGTGGCCGGACCCTAACGGCGAATAGCTGGGGTTAGCGGACGTTTTGCAACAAGACGTTCCGGCCACATATTTCGCATCGGCGCAGGGCAATACCCGTTTATTGTACCGGGAGCTAAAGTGGCTACGTCAAAACGAAAACCTCTTTTGACCAAGGCCGACTTGTCATTGGATGAGATCGCCGAGATCTGTCGGCGCTGGAACATCCATGAGATGGCTGTTGACACCGGCCAGAACAGGCCGCCCGTACAGCAAGGCCCCCGACCCGAACCTGACCCTTTCACCGAGGTTGACTTGTACCTCATTGTCCAGTTCGACTCGGACAAATACGAGTGGCACTTCAACGAACACCATTTCGACGTGGTGGCAGAGCTGGAGGGACTGACGGGAGCAAAAGTCTGGATAACGGACAACAGCATTTTGGAAAAGCGCATCGCCGAAGGATTCCAGTGGGCAATACGGGATAGGCAAAATCGGGATGTCATTTACACCCGAGGATGAACACGGGCCTGTAGAAGCATCACCACTGAGGCGCGTGGTTCACTGGTGCAACGTCGTCATCAGACTCACCGAGCGCAACGCCGACCAGTACTTGTCCGGCGACCTGACTGCCCGTTTCGCGCTTTATCATGCGATGGGACTGGTTGCGGACGCCGCCAGGGTCATATCAAAACGGGACACGGAGGCTATGCTTAGTGTCAACTGGACAGCGTTATTCAGTATGCGAACATTTTTGGTACACCGCCCCCACCTGGTCGATAGCGATAAGGTTTGGCAAGCCGCTACTGAAAGCGTACCGGCATTGTTGGCTGCGGTAATCGCGTACCAGACCCGGATAAGTTAATCACCCATTCGGCGAGTGCGACATGCCCCATTTTTTGTGCGATATTTGTGGAGCTCGGCACAGCGATAGCGGCCCGGATCAAGTGGGTGGTTGCTACAATTGCAACTACCCACTGTGTCCCGTGATCGATTATTCATGCCCCAACTGCAAGCGGCCATCTTGCGACAAATGCAACCAAGCCTGCCAGGAAGAAGATTGCGATACGGTCACCTGCCACGGCTGCGTCGACCGGCACGTGGAATCTCTCCACCCCATGTCATACGCGAGCTTGTCATCAGACTTGCCGAGCTGTGGGTGAGGTAACACTCAAAATGAGCGACACTGCCGCCCGCGTACTCGCACAGGAAAGCTTACGCCACATTGAGCAAGCTGTGTTGATGCTGCTCGACTCCCATCCCGACGGCCTTCGAAACTCTCAGATCGCTGATTTGCTGGGCCTGCGCTCGTCTATCCGTGGCGGTCAGCGAAACTACTTGACTTACTCAGTTCTCGGAGGGCTGATGGCACGAGGGGAAGTCGTGCAGAACCAGGAAACCAAGATTTTCACCAGAGAGGAAAGATAACAGAGAAAATTTAGTACGCAAATAAACGTGAAAGGTCGCGTCCCCTGAATGACACGGCGTGTTTCCTTGCGCCCCCACCGGCATCGGCATACAATCCGCCACAAGCTGAATATGGGGGCTTGGGGGCATCATGGCGGTGAGTAATCCGGCGCGCCAGGGGATGTTTTACGGGTGGTTTGTCGTCGCCACCTGCATGTTTATCGCGTTCCTGACCATGGGTACGCGAAACGCTTTCGGCGCGTTCGTGGTCCCCATGGAGGCGGAATTCGAGTGGAACCGCACCGTGGTCTCCTGGGCAGCCGCGCTGGGCGCGCTGCTGAACGGCGTCTCCCAGCCCTTCATGGGCTACCTCTTCGACCGCGTGGGCGTCCGCATCGTGGTGATGACCGGCATCGTGGTCGTGGGTGCATCAACCCTGCTGATGGCGGCCACCGGCAGCATCTGGTACCTGATCGCGGTTTTCGGCGTGGTCGCCGCGGTGGGTCAGAGCGGAACGTCTCTGACCAACACCGGAGCGATGCTGAGCAAGTGGTTCCGCCGGCGGCGCGGCCTGGTGATTGGGCTCAACGCCTCGGGCATGTCGCTGGGCGGCCTGATCTTGGTGCCCTTCGCGGCGTACCTGATCAGCCTGATCGACTGGCGGTTGTCGTGGATCGTGCTCGGCGTGATGATCCTGGTGCTGGGCATCCCGCTGGCTTTCGTGTTCCTGCACGACGACCCCGCGAAGAAGGGCTTGACCCCGGACGGCGACCCGGCGCCGGACACCGGACCGGGTGGATCGCCGGGAGCGGCCGCTCCCCCGGCACAGCCGTTGTTCGCCGAGAATTGGCGTCAGGCGTTCCGTACGCTCCCCATCTGGCAGATGAGTTTTTCGTACTTCATTTGCGGGTCCACCACGTTCATGCTGGCGGTGCACTTCGTGCCCATGGCGGTGGAGGAGGGCATCAACCCGCAGACCGCGGCGCTGATCTTCGGCTTGATGTCAGGACTCAACGCGCTGGGAGCCACCGGGGCGGGCTGGATTTCCGACCGCATCGGCGGACGCAAGAACTGGCTGGCGGCGGTGTACTTCTGCCGCGGGACGGGCTATGTGATCTTGGTGGCCTCGTTGTTGGTGCCGGGCATCCCGGTCGTGGCCGGCTTGCTCATCTTCTCCGTCGTCGCGGGACTGTCCTGGATCGCCACCGCCCCGCTGACAACCTCGCTTACGGCTGAGGTGTACGGACTGAAGTCTCTGGCCACCATCTCGGGTGTGGCCTTCCTGTTCCACCAGCTGGGCGGATTTACCAGCGTGCTGGCGGCCGGCTACCTGCGTGAGTTTACCGGCGACTACGTGCTGGCGTTCTCCATCGCCGCGGTGATGCTGTACCCGGCGGCAATCAGTGCCTTCACCATCCGGGAGCGCAGGTATTCGGTGCGTTATCAGGTCGCCCCCGCCGCAGCCGGAGCGGCCGACTAACCCCAATACGCATTGACTGCCACCCTACTACTCCCGCCCATCCGCCAATGGGCGGGAGTAGTAGGATATGCCCACGGGCAGATGATCTCCGTGTGCCGCCGGCTACGGACTGCCATAGCTCTGCTGCGTGATGCGTGCTGGCGCCCTATTTGTGGGCCTGCTATGATGGCGAGGTATTTGGCGGTGTTCGGGTCATCGCCTCACGGAACCCGCCAAGCTAGGGGGCGTATGACCAGCAAATCCGCAGCGCCAGTTGCCGCGCCGATGTATTTCGGCTGGTACATCGTGGCCACCTGCTTCTTCGTGTCGTTCCTGTCCATACCCGGACGGCAGGGGTTTGGCCTGTTCGTCACCGAGATGGAGCCGACCTTCGGCTGGGACCGGTCCGACATCTCGTGGGTGGGATCGGTTGGTTTCCTCATGAATGGCGCGATGCAGCCGATTATGGGGGCGCTGTTCGACAAGTACGGCCCGCGCCGGGTCTTTGGCATCGGACTGTCGGTGATGGGCTTGGCAATAATGAGCCTCGCTTTCATGCAGGACACGGACCTGGTGTTGAACTTGGGCGTGATCAGGATACCGCTCGACCTGCTGTGGTTCATCGCGGTGTTTTCGATTGTGATCAACACGTGTCTGAGCGCGGCGTCGATTACCAACATGCTGGCCTTGGTGGTTCGTTGGTTCCGCCGCAAGCGGAGCAAGGCCACCGGGTTGGCCGCGGCTGGCACCTCCATCGGCGGATTGTTGATGATCCCCTTCGCGGCGTACCTCATGGGTGTGCTCAACGAATCCGGATTGACCATCGCCGGCGTGGAGTTGGTGGGCTGGCGCACCGTGTGGTTCCTGCTGGGGATGATGGTAGTGTTCCTGGCCGCGCCATTGGCGATGTTCTTCCTGCGGCCCAGCCCGGCAGACATGGGGCTCAATACGGACGGCGACCCGAATCCCGAAGACGCCCCGGCCGGCAGCGCGCCGCTGCAGCGGCAATCCGGACTTTATGAGGTTGACAACTGGCGGCAGTGCTTCAAGACGCCGCCGATGTGGCAGCTATCCGGCGCGTATGTGGTATGCGGAATTACCACCGGCCTGTTGAGTATTCACTTCATTCCCTACGCCGAGGATGTTCTGCCCAACACGGTGAACTTCCTGTGGATGACTTTTGACGACAAGAAGGTGTTCGCCGCGTTGTTGTTCGGCGTCATGACCGGGCTGAATGCTGCCGGCGTGATTATTACCGGCTTCCTGGGCGACCGAATGCGGCGCAAAAACGTGCTGGCGGTGGTGTACGCCACTCGCTGCGTGGCGTTCATGGCGCTGGTGTTCCTGCCCCTGTTCGGGTATGGGATGCAGGGTCTGGTGGCGTTTGCCCTGCTGTCCGGCATGTCGTGGGTGGCCAGCGTACCGCTGACGTCGACGCTGACCGCGGACGTGTACGGATTTCCGCGCTCTGGGAACCATCAGCGGCTGGGTGTTTTTCTCGCACCAGATCGGGTCCTTCTTCAGCATCCAGTTTGCCGGCTACGCCTACGAATGGTTTGGCAACAGCTACTTCTGGCCCTTCCTGATTGCGGGACTGACCCTGATCCCGGCGGCCATAATGGCGTATAGCATCAAGGAACACCACTACTCCGGGCGCTACAACTCCCGGCCGGTCGATGCCGGCCCGCAGTTGGCGACGGCCGGGGCCGGAGGACGATACTAGGGCTGCCGTTTGATCGGCATGGCCCTTGGGTGACCACAATGGGCGGAACAACGTTCGTTGCCATATTGGCAGCCTTTGGGACGCCATCACGGCGAGGCGGACCCGACGCTGCTCCAATGGATAATGGCCGCGCTGAGCCACGTATTGTTGGGTCAGCTGGGGTTCACCGAACTCACGGTGGTCATCATCATCGGCATAGTAATCCTCGCCATGCCAGCAATGATCGTGATTGCCTATCTGGCCAGCAACCGGCGCGTGGCGTCACGGCAAATTGAAGGGGCCGAGCCAGTTTCCCGTCCCGAGTAGTCCACCGTTGAACCTGGCGCATGGTGGCGCCGATTCGTCGCGACCGCACGGCCGTCATCCAGGGCAATCGCGTCTAAATTGAGTTTGGCGGAATAACAGCTGGCGCTGACAGGAAAAGGTATCTCGTTACTCGAAAATGCAGGTGGTGAGCTTTGCGACCGCCCATTTCGACGGTAATCGAGGCTGGCATCGGCGCTCAAACGGTAATAAACCGTGGCCGACATCTGTGATACTAATACTTTGCATCGCTTGTTATGCCGAACACGATAAGACGCGATTGCCCTGGGCCGTCATCCGACCCGTCCGGCTGCATAACCGCTCCGTGCTATGATTGCTGGTGATGTGCGCCGCGATCCGTAAAGCAGTAATTCCGGCGGCGGGTCTCGGGACCAGGTTTTTGCCGGTAACCCGCTCCGTGCCCAAAGAACTGCTGCCGATACTCGATCGGCCGATGCTGCAATACGTGGTGGAGGAAGCGGCGGAAGCGGGAATAACGGACGTAATCGTGGTTACCTCCCCGGGCAAGGAAGGGATCGCCGAGTATTTCCACCCGCGACCGGATCTCGAGGCACGATTGTCCGATGATGCCCAGCTCCTGGAAAAGGTCCGATCCGGGGTGGACCTGGCCACCGTGTCATTTGTGATTCAGGAGCAACCCTTGGGATTGGGCCACGCCGTGCTGATCGGCGCGGAAAGCGGTAGGAGACGAATCCTTTGCCGTGATTTTGCCGGACGACATCGTGGACCATTCCCCGGGATTGCTGTTTCAAATGATGGCCGCGGTTGCCTCCGAAGACGGCGCGGCGGCAGTGGCGGTGGAGCGCGTGCCGTGGGAACTGGTACAAAATTACGGCGTGGTGGATTCTGAACCCTCGGGAGAGGGTCGGCACCGGGTCCACGGGTTGGTGGAAAAGCCGCCGCCCGGAACCGCGCCCTCCAACCTGTCCATCGTGGGACGGTACCTGCTGCCCGCGCGGGTATTCGATTGTCTCGAGCGAACGCCACCGGGCGCTCGTGGTGAGGTCCAGTTGACGGATGGCCTGGCGTTGCTAATGGAAGACACGGCCGTTTATGCCTGCGAGTTCGAAGGAGTACGCTACGACGGCGGCAACCCGCTGGGGTTGTTGCGGGCCTCGCTGGAGTACGCGCTGAAACGAGAAGACACCCGGGAACTCGCGACGGATCTGGTACGACGGTTGGCGGCTGAGCTGTAGCGCGGCCCGGTTCAATTGACTCTCCCGGCTGGGCCACCGTAGAATTGCCCGGCTCGTGTGGCAGGGTTTCGTCCTGCCGCCGTTGCCTCACTTCACCCTTGAAACAGGAGACGCCAAATCATGGCAACTAAAGCCTTTTTGCTGGTTGAAACCGCCGTTGGCCGAACCAGAGACGTAGCTACCACATTGCGAGACCTGGACGGCATCGAATCGGTGGACGTGGTCACGGGTCCTTACGACATCATCGCGGTGATTTCCGGCGAGGATATGTCGGTGGTCGGGGGGTTGGTGACGGAGAAAATCCATACCGTGGTAGGCGTGGTGCGAACCGTGACCTGCGTGGCCGTGGACGCTTGATGCTCGGTTGGGGTTGATCACGACGACTACCTGATTTTGCGGGAGGCATGGTTTGGAGTACCGCTTCACTCCGGAAGACGATCATTTCCGAGGCGAACTGCGCCAGTTCATAAGGGCGGAGTTGCCGCCCGATTGGGAGGGCGGCGGACGGTGGCCCGAGGAATACGATTGGGACTTCACCATGCACCTGCGAGGTCGGTTGGCGGAGCGTGGCTGGCTCACGATGCACTGGCCAGGGGAATATGGCGGGCAGGATGCCTCGCCCGTGCGGTCGGCCATCTACAACGAAGAGCTGGCCTACTTGCGCGCGCCGGGGCGGGATATTTTTGGCGTGCGGATGCTGGGGCCCACGCTGATGATCCACGGCAGCGAGCAGCAGAAGCAACAACATCTTCCGCCCATCGCGCGCGGTGAAATCCAGTGGTGTCAGGGTTACAGCGAACCCGAGTCCGGATCCGACCTGGCGTCGCTCAGCACCAGGGCGGTACGCGATGGTGACGAGTACGTCATCAACGGAGCGAAAATCTGGACGACGCTGGCGCACCGCTCCGATTGGATCATGTGCCTGGCTCGAACCGACCCGGAGGCGCCCCGGCACCGCGGGATCAGTTTCATCCTGGTCGATATGAAAACGCCTGGAGTAGAGGTGCGGCCGGTGGTCAACATGGCCGGGGCCCACGAGTTTAACCAGGTGATTTTCGACAACGTGCGCGTGCCCAGCAGCAACGTCGTTGGGGAGGAAAACCGCGGTTGGTATGTGGCCGTGACCTTGCTGGACTTCGAGCGATCCGGCATCGACTATTCGGCCATCGCCCGTCGGCTGCTGGATGACACTCGCGAGTACGCGGGCAAGGTTTCACGCAACGGCATCAAGGTCACGCAGCAGCCTTGGGTGCGAAACCTGCTGGCCGACCGGTACGTGGAGTGTGAGGTCGCCCGCCTGATGGCCTACAACGTGGCGTGGATGCAGGGAGAAGGGCTGGTCCCGAACAAGGAAGCGTCCATGAGCAAGGCGTTCGGCAGCGAAACCCTGCACCGGGCGGCCAATAGCGTTTTGGAAATGACGGGTCTGGAAGGCGCGTTGGGGCGTGGCGAGAAACGGGCTCCGCTGAATGGTCGTCTACCGGAGAACTGGATGATCAGTTTCTCCCATAAGATCGCCGGCGGCACCTCGGAGGTACAGCGAGGTATCGTCGCGGGACGTGGGCTGGGACTGCCCAGGGGTTAGACCCCGCTATTCATCGTCCCCCGCAAGGATTCTGGCGAGTTCCGGGGTGAGCTGGACGCCCTGTTGTTCCAAGGCAGCAACGAGGCGTTCCCGTTCCGCTTGGCGACCGGCTTGGCGGCCGGCGCGGATGCCTTCTTTGATGCCTTCCCTGATACCTTCCTGGCGACCGCGTTCGCGAGCTTTGCGTTCGACCGCTTCTTTGGCTGCAAAGAACATTTTGAATACTCCGTACAGAACTGCTGTGGTGGGAAACAGGAGCAGTGTTGCCGCAATTATAATCCCGTCGTCGCGGTTGGTCAGTTCTTTGAGATGACCAAATGGCGGCAGCCCGGTGCAAAACACGCATGCGTTCGCAAGCACCGCCATAAGCATGCTGGCGCTGACCGATGCTGCACCATCGAAAAACCGCCACAGCGAGGGGTTGCGACCATCTTCGTTCATCCGTTGGCCCGACCCGTCGGGGCCGTTATGCCGCCAGCCTGGCGAACACGGCGGCTTCCGCTGGCGTCAATTCCCGCATGGCGTCACGGCAGCGGTTTAAGACGCGGAATATGGTCCGCTGGGTGACGGAGAATCGCTCGGCGGCTTCGGATATGGAAAGGCCCTCGCCGTGTATGACGGAGGCCATGTGCAGGTATCGCCCCAAACGACGGTATTTGTAAAACCATTCCATATCGTCAAACTTGCAGCGAGGTAACGGGCAGCCAAAGCAGGTCGAGGCGACCTCGCACCCGGTATCCTCGTAATGGTCAAATCTCGGTTCGGCGATTTCGCGTCGCTTGGGTGCCACGGCGTCCATGGCGAACATAATCCACCTCGAAACGAACGTTCTAAACACTTTGGCAGTATAGAACTACCGTTCGTCAGTCGTCAAGAGCGACTCCAATGGGAATTCAGCGCGCTTCCGAAGGAGGCGGGCCGCGGAGTCCGGATTGACGCCTACGAGGCCAGGAAACAGCGCAGGATGGTTACTGCGGCGGCGGCGTCAATCGCACCGGGGTCGTGGCTCGGGCTTTGCCCGGACTGCAGCAGGTCGTGGGCGGCAGCGTTGGAGCTGAATGATTCGTCGACCGTCAGCACCGGGATGTCGGTCGCCCGTTGCAGCGCGCGAACCAGCGCATCGGTTTTGCGTGCCTGTTCGCCGGATCGACCGTGGGCGTCGTAGGGCATGCCCACGACGATGGCTACCGAGTCGCGTTGGCTGGCCTGTTCCAGGATCGCGGCAATGTCGGCGCGCCGATTGCGACGCTGCAGATACCCGGCAGGCAGGATCAACTCCCCCGGAGGTATGCTTACCGCCAGGCCGATACGTCGGTCACCGACGTCCAGGCCCAGCAGACGGCCAGCCCGGGCCAGGTCCGCAGGGTCAGAGCGGGGCGACGGGATCGTCACGTCGCTTTCCTCCCCGCCGTGCCGAACCGCTAATTGCCCAGCCCAGCCCTGACCAGGTTGGCCACGCTGTCCAGGGCAGCGCCCAGACGTTCCGGTTGGCGTCCTCCGGCCTGAGCGGTTTCCGGACGCCCGCCGCCGCCGCCGCCCATCAGCTTGGCGGCGTCGCGAGCGATGTTCCCCGCATGGAGACCGCGGCTCACCAGGTCTGGCGTGATCATGGTGACGATGATCGGGGAACCGTCGATCACCGCACCCAGGGCAACCACGACGTTCTCCAGCTTCTGCTTCAAGAAGTCTCCCATCTCCCGCATGGCTTCAACGTTGTGGGCGGATGTTACGCCGGCAACCAGTTTCACGCCATCAATGTCGCGAGTGCGGTCGAGCAGAGACTCGGCTTCGGACCGCAGGCTGGCGCGTTCGGCATCAGCGAGACGCCGGCGCAGCACTTCGGTGTCCGCCATGTAGGCATCCAGGCGGGCCTCAAGCTCGGCGACGGGAGCCTGCAGCCTACGGGAAATGGCTTCCAGCGTGGCGGATTGCTCTACGAACAGTTCCTCGGCTGCGCGGCCGGTAGTGGCCTCAATGCGTCGCATACCCCCGCCGATGCTCGATTCTCCCAGCACGACCAGCGTGCCGACCTCACCGGTAGCGTGGACATGGGTGCCACCGCAGACCTCGAAGCTGAAGGGCTCATCATGGTCGTCGTGATGACCCATGCGCACCACGCGGACCACGTCGCCGTAGCGGTCGCCAAAGAAGGCCAGCGCGCCGTCGCGCACCGCGTCGGTGTATGTAGTCTCCCGGGCCGTGACCGACAGGTTTTCGCGGATCTTGCGGTTGGCCAGGCTTTGGACGTCCAGCTGCTCGTCCGGGGTCATCGCGCCGACGTGGTTGAAGTCGAAGCGCAGCCTGCCGGGGGCGCACAGCGAGCCCGCCTGGCGAACGTGGGGGCCAAGGACGGACCGCAGCGCGGCATGGAGCAGATGCGTGCCGCTATGGTTCCGTGATGCGTCCAGGCGGCGTTCCGTTTCAACCCGTGCGCTCACCGCCTCGCCCAGCGCGATTATCGCCGTCGGACACCACACCACGATGTACGATCAGCCCGGCAACGGGGCTCTGGGTGTCTTCGATTCGGACGTGGCCATTGGGCCCGGTGATCACCCCGTGATCGCCCACCTGCCCGCCGCCCTCGGCGTAGAAGCAGGTCTCCGCAAGGACGATTTCAACCTGCTGGCCCCGGGTGGCGTGACCAACCGCTTCTCCTTCGCGCAGTATGCCCAGGATGCGGGTATCTATCGTCGTGCGTTGATAACCGTCGAAGGGGGTACGACCGGCGCCCAGGTTCTCGTAGGCCGTAACGATTTCCATGCTGCCCGTGACCTGGCGCCCCGCGCGGTCTCGGTCGCGCTTGGCCTCCATCTCGGCGTTGAACCCCTCCATGTCGACGGCGAGCCATACTCGCGGCGACCGATTTCGTCGACCAACTCGGGCGGGAACCCGTAGGTGTCGTAGGACAAAGCTTCAGCCGAGAAAATTGGCCCACTCTCGCCGACGTCGTTATTCGTTTGCACACTGCGGTTTCGTACTTCTGCGCTAAGTTTCGCTGTTCCGCTGCCATTTGATTCCGATATCGCTGGTCCGTATTTGACGGGGTAGACAGCCGATCTTCGTCTTGCCAGAGGCAATAGCGGACGTCTGAGTGAAACGCCGATGTGATCATGCCAGCAAATATGCTATGCCCGCTCGGAAGCTTCTCCAAATCTTTCCTCTTCCATTCGAATTACGCGGCGATGAAACCTTCGTTTTCCGACAGGGCAGGATAGGCGTCGGCGAAACGCGCAATCACGGCGTCGGTGACTCGGTCATGAAAGGACGGTCGAGCCCGAGCTGCCGGCCGTAACGGATGGCCCGCCGGATGATGCGGCGGAGGACATAACCACGGTCGCTGTTGGAAGGCACAACACCGTCGCTGATGAGGAACGAAGCGGCGCGGGCGTGCTCGGCGACAACGCGGATGCGTAGTCGGTATCCGGTCGGAACCGTATTCGTGCCGGTGAGACTGCAAACCGCGTCGATGATGGGCCTGAAGAGGTCGGTCTCGTAGACGTTGGGCTTGCCTGCAGAACGGCGGCGGCCCGCTCGAGGCCCATGCCGGTGTCCACGCTCGGGGGCCGGCAGGGGCGTGCGGACGCCCTCGAGGTCCTGGTAGTACTGCATGAAGACCAGATTCCACAGCTCCACGAACCGCTCACAGTCGCAGTTGGGATGGCAAGCCGCCCGGCTCGGCGGTGGGACCACCCTCAGCCTCGATACGGAGCATGGCGGTGAGCTCGTCGGCGTCATCATTTCGTCCGTGGCCGGATGCTGGCCCCGGCCCTTTTCGGCTCCCCCGTCGTAATGGAGTTCAGAGCAGGGACCCGTGGGTCCTTCCAGGCCGGCGGGACCCCACCAGTTGTCGCTGTTGCCATAGCGGTAAATCCGCTCCGGAGGTACGCCGATGTCGTTCCGCCACAGTTCGTAGGCATCGTCGTCATCCAGGTGCACGGTAACGTACATGCGCTCCGGCTCCAGGCCGAACAGTCCTGTGCACAACTCCCACGCAAAGGCGACGGCGTCCTTCTTGAAGTAGTCGCCGATGCTGAAATTGCCCAGCATCTCGAAGAAGGTGAGGTGTTTATGGTCACCCACCTCGTCGATGTCGGTCGTGCGGAACGACTTCTGACAGCTGGTGAGACGGCGACGGGGAGGGGTCTGTTCTCCCATGAAGAAGGGCTTGAACGGCACCATTCCGGCGGAAGTGAAAAGAAGGGTCGGATCACCGGCCGGAATCAGAGAGGCGGAGGGCATGTACTGGTGCCCGCGTTCTTCAAAGAATTGCGCGAAGGATCTGCGAATGCTGTCGCCGTCCGTGTTCATACGAGGTTACGACTCCCGTAGGTTGGATTACGAAAAAAGGTCATAGGTGGACCCAACGATTGTAGGGGACGGCTGCGAGGAGCGTCAACGATGCACGGTATCCCATGGGTGCTGGCATGTGCGGAACGGGGTTGTTCTTACATGGATATACGGGATGTACAGGATCGGTACGCTATAGATCTCAGTTGCGAAGGAAGTCGACGAGGCTGCGGAAATTGGGGCAGGTGTTGTAGACGGCGGTGGGGTTGAGTAAGTTCAGCAGGGCAGGGGCGTGGGCCGTCTTATGATAAATGCGTTTGGGTGTGCCACGGGTTGCTTCGCTCAAGCGATTTATCACGTCGCCCTTGAGCACGACCTCCGGTTGGGGATTGTTGGGCAGGATTCGGGGGTTGAATCTTGGCCCGTAGTACGCTTGCAGAGTCTCACGGTCTGCCAAAAACCACGCTTCCATCAGTTGGACCATGAAAAATGTCCGGTCCAAAACGCCTGGCAAGCGGGCGCGGGAAGCCACGGTTTGCCGTAACTCATGCAGGTCGTCACCTTCTGAATCGATCAAAAGCAGGGAATCTGGAGACGATACTCTGCCGAAACGCGCAATCGCTCTGTCCCTGCTGCGACAAGCGTCCACGTCGATGTTGATATCGTTGCCGACGGCCCTGCGCAGGAAATTTCTCATCGGGCGTCGGAGGTGGGCGCCGCCTTCCAAGTACACATCCATTTACCGGTCAGTGTACTCCGCCCATGGCGCCAGCCATCCAGACTTCGCCCAATGGTTGATCTTCCAGCCAGTCTTCCAGTTCTGCGCGGGTGAAGCGCTTGAACTGAGTCCCGTCTGCAGGGTGGCGGTCGCGCTCGCATACCACCACTGAATCGGGTTCAGCCGACAGGCGGTCAATCAACCAAGGGGAATGAGTGGTAACAATCAACTGTGTGCGTTGGGATGCTTCCAGGAGTAACTCAACGACCAGATCGAGAGAGTCGGGGTGCATGGCGATTTCCGGTTCCTCGATGCAGATCAGCGGGGGCGGTTTCGGGTGGCACAGGATGGCCAGCAGGGCGATGAAGCGGATGGTTCCGTCTGACAGGCGGGAGGCCGGTAGAGCGCCGGACATGCCGGTTTCGTTGACGATCAACTCGACGGTATTACCGAAGATGCGCGCGTGCAGGCTCTCGTAGGACTCGTAGAACCGCTTGAGATGGGAGTCCAAAGACGGTTCCAGCCTGCGACCCAGCAGGTCGTTGATCACCAGCGCCAAGTTGCCGAAATCCTCTTCCAGAAAGTTGGGGTCGCCGTCCGTGCGCTGGGGACGACGAACCGGGCTGTCGCGGCCGACGTACCAGTTGCGATAAACCTTGATCGCGGAGAGTACGCGGGCGGTTTCGGTTAGCGCAGGATAATCGGCGGGATCGCGTATCTCACTCAACACCGACTTGCCGCGAGATATATCGACCTGCACTGGCTCGTCGCTATGGTCGGCGAGAGTGCCATCGGGTCGTGCTGGCCAAAGGCGCGCACTCTCATTAGATGTTTGGAAAAAGGGATTGGCATAGGCATGTTTGCGGTCCCCTGCCATCAAGTCCAGCCGTTCATTCAGGGAATGGACACGGTCATTCCGTATCACTAGTTCCAATTCATAGCCGAAGGGATGGCCCTGATTATCAAACCGTGCTTCCACCTCAGCGAGCTGAAAAGGCGTTTCCTCCCAGCCCGATCCCTTCCAAATCCAGTCACCGGTCGGCCCGTTGCTCCGCAGAAACTCTGCGATGTCGTTGGGCACCGCTTTTAACAACCCGATCAAATCAACTAAGTTGGATTTTCCGGAGCCGTTGGGGCCGATGAGTACGTTCAGCGGCTGGAGGTCCAGCTTCGTATCCTTGAACGAGAGGATATTTTTGAGGTGCAGCGAGTTGATTAGCATGTTGGCCATCCGTGCAACGGGCCGCCGCTAACTTTGGTACATCAGTATTCAAACCCCGTTTCCGCGGCCCAGGCTTGGACGCCGCGTCGAAAAGCCAGCGCGCCCATGGGGGCGATGACGGCCTGCATGGCTTCCAGTATCTCGCGGGGTGTGGCGCCTTCGTTGAGGGCGACGCGGATGTGGGCCTGGATCTGCTCCTGGTCGGCGCGGAGAGCGGTCTCCACGCAGATCTGCAGCAATTCCTTGGTCTTGCGGTCGAGCAGGCGCTGGCCAGTGTAGGTGGCCTCGATGAACTCCCCGTACTTTTGGGTCCATTCCGGGTCGGCCAGGGCGTTGATGCGGTGCATCTCCAGGGTATAGCCCCGGGTCTGGGCGGCTTCCTCGATCAAACGCTGGGCGTCTGCGTTGTCCGGCATGGTGGCCTCCTGGGATGGGTTTAGTCTATGGGATGGGTTTAGTCTAAAGGTCGTAGTGGGTGCGCGCCGCGGCTTGGAGCGGGTCGTCCTGCTGGAACAGGTCGGGATGTGTCCCGCGAGCCAGGGCCAGGTGGTAGGTGAACAGTTGCAGCGGAACGACGCTGGCAATCGGCATGAGGTATGCCGGGCAGTCGGGCAACGGGAAGGTGACGGCGCCCGCGTCTGCCAACCCGGCATCGCCCCGGTTTGTCAACGCCCACACGGGTGAGCCCAGCTCACGAGCGGCTTTCGCCAGATCTACGGAGCGACCGCGGTCCTCGCCGGCAGGAGCGATCAGCGTGAGCATGCAGTCGGAATCCAGGGAGCAGAAGGGTCCGTGGAGTAACTGTTCGGTCTGGAAACCCTCGCAGTCGGCGCGGCTGGTCTCCTTTATCTTGAGCGCGACCTCGTAGGCATTGGCCCGGTTCGCACCCCAGCCCGCGGAGATGAACCTGCGCCGAAGGCGATGCTCAGCGACTACCGTGCGAACGTCCGCCTCTGCATCCAGGATGTCGGCTACTTGCTGCGGCAACGCGTCCAGCCCGTTGGTCGGATCATCCAATCGACCGGCTATGCCCAGGTTGAGCAGGGCAAGCACGGTGAGCGCCGTGGTGTAGCTTATCGTGAACGCCGCGGACTTCTCCTGGTCGACGGTCCGGATACCGACGTCGGCGACCTGGATGCGTGGCCCCGGGTCGGTCGAAGTGATGGCGACGGTATAGGCCCCGAGATCCTTGGCAACGTCCAGCGCGTCGTAGGATGACCGCTTGGTGCCGCGATGGCTGATGACGATGACTGCGTCGTCCGCCGTGACGCGCGGCGGCGACACACAGAACTCGAACGAATTGCACGCGAAAGCCTCCGGGCCGGCGTCCATCGGCCCTGCTTCCATCTGCCCTGCTTCCATTATGGACGCTCCCGCCAACGCCGCGTGCCACGATGTGCCAATGCCCACGACGTAGATGCGGCGTTTTTGCGAAAGAACCTCGGCCACCTCTGCGCAACGCTCTTTCTGGGTCGAGATGACCGAACGTATGGCGTCGGGCTGGGCGGCGATGGCCTCGTACATGTAGTACGGGTGCTGGGTGCGCGGAGCAAGGGTTGTCATGAGTTAAGGTCCGGGGGCAACGAGGTGACGGGAAGTTTTGGTGTGGCGAAAACATGATAACAGGGGTTGGTTTTGCTGTCCCAGCGGCTCGACCAATCGCGGCCTGACGAATTAAACCAAAGGGGCTATAATTCAGGTTAAGATCGGTCGCCTGGACGCCGCCACGGCTTGGCCGATGGTGACCATACAGGAGCAAACCGATAATGGCAGTACGCGTTCTCGATGTCCATGCGCACATAACGCCAGCCAGCGCATTGCGGTCGATGCAGAGCGGCGAAAACTGGTTCGGGGGTCACGGCGCCGCAGCTTTATAACCAGCACCGTTACAACCCGCGTACCTTCTGGACGCCGGAGCAGCGGATTTCCGACATGGACTCGCTGGGCGTGGATGTCCACGTGCTGTCAACCAACGCCAATATGTACTTCTACGACCTGGCCGTGGACCAGACCATGGCCATGCACCGGGAGTGCAACGATTACGTTGCCCAGTTGACCGAAGAGTATCCGGACCGCTTCGCCGGCCTGGCCCACCTTCCGATGCAGGATGTGGGCGCGGCCATCGAGGAACTGACCCGGGCGGTCGAAGAGCTGGGCCTCAAGGGCGCCATGATCGGCGACCACGTGAATGGCCGCACCTTTGACGATCCGGTCTTCCAGCCGCTTTGGGCTACCGCGGAACGCCTGCGGGCAATGTTCCTGGTTCACCAGGGCGGCGACACCGTGGTCTCGTCGCGGTTGAATCGTTACCACGTGCCCAACACCATTGGGAACCTGGCTGACCGCGCAATCACCTACGCCTCCTTCGTTTTCGGCGGCGTGATGGACCGCTATCCCGGCCTGCGGGTCTGCCTGTGCCACGGCGGCGGCTACGCCTGCTACGGCATCGGGCGCATGGACCGCGGCTGGCAGGTGCGGCCCGAAGCGCGCGCCAACATCGACCAGCCGCCCAGCGCCTATCTCAACCGGTTCTACTACGATTGCCTGACCCACAGCGAAGACGGACTGCGCATGCTCATCGACATGGTAGGCATTGAGCAGATTGTTTTCGGCACCGACTGGCCCTTCGATATGTGCGCCGACTGGCCGGTATCCTGGTTGCTTGGCCTGGACAGCCTGACCCGCGACGAAAAAGATGCGATCCTCTTCGCCAACCTGGAGAGGCTGCTGCAGATCTAGCCGAATCAAACCGCACAATCATGACGATCCGGAGGGAAACCCTATGGGACTCATCGCTGACAACATCCGCCTCAAGGCGATCAACCACATCACCTACAACGTTCGGGACAAGGACATCGCCCTCAAGTGGTACCAGGAAGTCCTGGGCGTGAAGCAGATCCCGAAAATGGTGGACAGCGACAACCTGTATTGGCTGCAGTTGCCCAGCGGGGCCATGGTCCACATCATCGAGAACCCCGACTCGCCGTCCGCGCCTCGCATCACACCGCGTTCGAGGTTGACGAAATCGCGGCCGCCCGCGAGGAGTTGCAGAACATTGGGGTGGAGTGCACCGACATCCAGACCCGCCACGACGGGCAGCAAGCCTTCTACTTCCACGACCCTGACCACAACCGCCTGGAGATCTGCACCAGGTCAGGCTTCGGCGTCCTCGTGTAACTCCGGCGACACCGGCAATCAACAAGGGGCGGGTTTCAAACCCGCCCCTCTTTTTGTTAGGGAATTATATGCCTGTGTACACCAAAACGCTTGACTCGGCCAACCGCTAATAGGGGGTACATGGATAGAAAGTCATACCCAAGACCAGCGACTGCCATACCAATTCACCGTATGGAGACGCCCCTCGTCGGCTCCATACAACATTTTTTGGGTCGCCGCGCCCGGAGATCCTTGGGTGGATATAACGCCGTCCCTGCTTTCGGTGAGATTTGATGGCGTGGGTTGGTGGACTCCGTTCCTACCGAATATGCCCAGGAAACGCGGTTTAGAAATGAACCTAAAGCAAATCCGCCACGCTTTAGATTCACGTTACGATGACGAATGGAAAGCCCTGAACGATATGCGCCACAAGTATGATTGGCCGGCAAACCTGACGGCTGCGATTGGGTATGCCTTTTGCTCACAGGTAGCTGTTGAATTGATGATGTTCCGGCGGTCGTTCGGCATCCAAAACAAGCAGGGCATCCTGAAATGGTTGCGAAGGGAACTGCGGCGTCTTCCTGGTCGCTTTGACTTGAATGTTGCCGACGACTATTTGGACAACGCAGAACAGCACGTACAGACTCGGAGAGAACCGCTGTATCGCCGTGACGGGGAAACAATCACCATTGTGGTTCACGCTGAATTCGCACAAGAATCACACCTATGGGAAGGCTGACCGTCCTACCGTCCAGCGGTGTACACAAGTATGTAATTCCCTTTTGTTATGGGTGCACCGGAGGAATGACTACCTGGTTGATGTCGGTGAGCACAGACTACAACAATTCTGCAACCCTGTACTCTTGGCCCCATCGGCCCAATGCTGTGAGCCCGGGCTCCACATGGTTAGTTAACTCTGGCAGCATCTCATCCAGCGCAGGGTTTTCAAGAATAAAATCGCGGAAATTTTCCAGCGCTCGATCATAATCGCCACGCTGTATGACATTTAGGACACTACTCCTCAATATAGCGAGATAGTCGTCCCGTCCGAGGATTTCAAACAAATGGATAGCGCGCAAATGTAGGATCTGTACTACATTCTGGTGGATCCGCAGCAGTTCAGCTCTTGATTCTTGCCAAACTTGCTCATTTTCATATTGGTCGCCAACATCTTGTGGCCTATCTTGCACCAGCCACCCCTCTGGGCTTCGCTCGACTTGCTTTGATCTTCGCTATTAGGCGGTTATTTTCTTCGGCAAGCTCCTTAGCTATTGCTTCCGAGCGTTTAATCTCCTCCGCGTGCTTGGCCAACAGAACGTCCACCTTGGGATCACCAGTTACGTGCGCCATAACATTGCCTCCTTCTGATCACCTTTTGCAGCATATCAGGTTGTCAAACCTAACCACAAAGCGCCTACGGCCGTCCCATCGAGTACCGGTTCAGGATGCCAAGGTATGCCCGCTGCCCTTCAATCGCGATGGCGGTGCGGTCAGCGAGATATTCACCCCAGACGGACTGGGTGAGCCCCGTGGCCTTGCCCGATGGCGAATACGGATTGGCCGGATCCAGGCCGGCGAAGGCCTGCATACGGGCGCCAATGGACTTGGAACTGCGTTCGATGGCCGCCGCCAGCGCGGCGACCTCCCGGCTGTCGTGGGCTACCTTTCCCCGGTAGAGATGCAAGACCGCCAGGTCCTCAATGCGGGTCCATTTACGGGCGGGAGGCATGGCAAATTCATAGTTGTAGGGGCGAATGATCATTCGCCCCTACAACGCTCCGGTTTACCGGCCTTCCTGAATGAACTCGGCGACGTGCTCGCCGATGGTCATGGATGTGACGTTGGTGTTGGCGCGGATGCAGTCGGGCATGACGCTGGCGTCGGCGACCCGCAGGTTGGTGACGCCCTTAACCTTGCCATACTGGTCGACCACGGCCATGGGGTCGCTGTCCGGGCCCATCTTGCAGGTGCCGGAGATGTGCTGCGAAGTGGTGACCTCGCGGGCGATCCATGCGTCCAGCGCATCGTCGCTCACCAGGGCGTCGGCCGGCGGTTCCATGCACTCCTGGATCAGGGTCTGGAAATCGGGGTGGTCCGCCAACTGCATGCACAGGCGCACGGAGTCCCGCAGCCGCACCCGGTCCGACTCCTCCTTCAGGTAGTTGTAGTCCAGGAATGGCTGCTGGTACGGGTCGGTGGATTGGAGGCGCATGTGTCCAGCTCCGGCCGCCAGCTGGATGCCGGTGCTCATGCGGATGCCCAGGGGCACCATGCGGTCGCCGCCACGGTTGATGCGCTCGGTGGCAAAGGACTGCATGCTGATCTTCATGTCGTTGCGCAGCTCCGACCCGTCGGCGGTATAACGCAGGGACAACTGCGAGCGGGGAGCCAGCCCGTCAAGCTCCACCTCGGGCTTGGTGCGCCAGGTGCACCAGACGGTGGGATGGTCGCGCAGGTTCTGGCCGACTCCGGGGGAGTCGTGAATCACCGGGATCCCGATCTCACGGAGGTGTGCCGCGGGACCGATGCCGGATAGCATCAGAATGTGAGGCGAGCCAATGGCGCCGCTGCTGAGAACGATTTCATCGCCTTCGGCCACGAAGGTCTCGCCGCCCGATTCCAGTTGCACGCCTATGGCCTTGTCGCCGTCGAACAGGATCCGCTGAACGTGGCAGTTGGCCTTGATGGTCAGGTTTAGCCGGTGGCGGGATTCGGAGAGATAGCCCAGATTGGTGCTCATCCGGATGCCGTTGGGGTTGTTGAAGGGGGTGGGTCCGACGCCTTGCGAATCCGGGTGGTTGTGGTCCCAGACTTCTCGATAGCCGGCCGATACGCAGGCAGAGTTGAAGGCGTTCTGGGCCGGCAGCCAGCTTTCCCGGGCGAAACGGTGCATGACGATGGGCCCGTCGCCCCCATGGAAGTCGTCGTTGCCGTAGTCCGTGTCGGTCTCGATGCGCCGGAAGATCGGAAGCAGCTTGGTGTAGGCCCACTCATCGTTGCCTTGGGCGGCCCAGCCGTCGTAGTCCTCCGGCACGCCGCGCAGGAACACCTGGCCGTTGATGGCGCTGGAGCCGCCGGTGACCTTGCCGCGGGGCACCATAATCTCCGGCGAGGTGTCGGTGCCCTTGCCCACGAATTGCCAGTTATGGTCGCTGACCATGATGTCGATTTCGGTGTTGTAGCCGAACTTCACCTCTTCGGGCAGTTGCTCGAACTCCGGATAGTCGGGGCCCGCCTCGATCAACAGCACGTGCTTGCTGTGGTCCTCGGTCAGGCGGCTGCGATAATCGAGCCAGCGGAGCCCGCCCCAATCACGATGTAATCGTACTTCATACCAGTCTCGCTCCTTTCGTCACGGTAGTTGCCTCACCGGCGCGCTCATTGGTCCGCTGCTGCGGCGAAGCGGCAGTGGATTCCGTACTGCCGCAATGATATACAGGGGGCTACGAGAGGCGCAAGCAAACGGAAGGCGTAGACGACCGCATTCTCGCTCGTAGGTCTGCATGGCTCATGCGGTAGAATGGGCTCAAAATTGGGTTCGAGCCGGCGTCTCAGCGACTCCGGATACTGGCCCGCCGATCAACGGCAACCACCACTCAAAGGAGCCCTACTATGGCAGAACTGGTACTGGGACTGGCTTCCTCCCACAGCCCGCAACTGAGCACCCCAGCGGAAGGCTGGGCCGGCCGCGGCGAGCGCGACAAGGGCCATGTTGAACTGATTGGAACCGACGGCATCACCTCCAACTTCGAGGACCTGCTGGCCCGCACCGACACCGAGCGGATCGCCAGGGAAATCACGCCGGCCAAGTTTGAACAGCGCCACGCGCAGAACCAGAAGGCCATCGCTCACCTGGCCAAAAAGCTGAACGACGCCAACCTGGACGTGCTGGTCATGGTTGGCGACGACCAGCATGAGTACCTGCTGGACGACAACATGCCGGCCTTCTGCGTTTACTGGGGAGACCAGGTGAAGGTGTCCGGGCATGAGGCCGGCCCGTCCACGGGCGGCGAGCATCTCATTGGCTACAGCACCGAGGATGTGTACGCGCCCACGGACGCTGCACTGGGCCTGCACATCATCGACAGCCTCATGGACGCCGAGTTCGACGTGGGCAGCTCCAAGTTCCTCAACCCCGACCGGGGAGGGCGCGCCAAGGGCGGCATCGGGCACGCCTTCGGCTACGTGTACAACCGCCTGATGACCGACGGCATCATCCCGGCGGTGCCCGTCATGCTCAACACCTACTACCCGCCGAACCAGCCGACGCCCAAGCGGTGCTTCAACCTCGGACAGGCTCTGCGTTCCGCCATCGAGTCGTGGCCCAAGGACATCCGCGTCGGCATCCTCGCCTCCGGCGGAATGAGCCATTTCGTAGTGGGACGAGGAACTCGACCAGCAGGCGCTGGCCGGCATGCAGGCCAAGAGCGTCGACCAGCTCATGGCGCTGCCCCGCGAGAAGATCAACTCCGGCAGCTCCGAAATCCGCAACTGGATCGTGGCTACCGGCGCCACCGAGCACCTGGACATGGACATCGTCGACTATGTCCCGTGCTACCGCTCACCCGCGGGCACCGGGTGCGCGATGGGATTTGCGACCTGGGGTTAGGTCCGCAAAGTATCGGCCGACCGGTCCGTCGGTATCTGCGGGGGCGAATGAACATTCGCCCCTGCGTCATTGAAGACTGTGCTTGGCCTTACGACCCGAGCGGCTCTGTACACGTCGCTAAACAGAGCACGCCATGCGACGAAAATCCTCTATGTCCCGCCAAGCTTGCTCCAAAGCGACATCGTTTAGGTTCCCTGACCCGGACCGATATCCAACGACATCAGCGTATTTCCGCCAACCCAGGCCAAAATGCCTCCGCCAAAGCCTGCCATTCCATCAGAACTAGGCTCCTTCGGCTAGACACAGAGCAGACCGCCCTTACATCATAGGCATCGATTCTCACCAACCCCCATTCACTTTGGGGAAGATCACGCGTTGCCTTCTCCCAAACATCATCAAGTCTCCACCAAGGGACAATGAACATCAGGACACCGGGCCGGGCCGGCGCGAGACGGTCTAGATACCCGAGGGGCTGATTTGCCGTGAGACCGGCGGCGACCTTGGCCTCAACGATAAACCACAGAGCACCAGAGCCGTCGTATAGGCCTAGATCCAAACGCACGCCTCCACCCGAATCCTCCTGTTTCACCACATCATCCAAGGGTATCGAAATACCCAAGTCTTCAGCTACGGCATGGAACGGCTCCCAGAAGCATTCATGCGATTTCAAGCAATGAGCCAATGCAGACACCAGACTGGACTCGCTGACCTTTCCGCCTACTGGGACAAACTTGGAATACAACGACATGTAATCTCCTACAAGATCACCGAAACGGACTCTACCGAGCGTATGTACTCGTTTTGCCACAGCCATAATGCGCGGCTCGAAGCACAATCGTGATTCTTGCGCAGGTATGGGTCAGAAATGACGAAGTTGCGGTTTCATGCACGTGAGGATGACAGAGTTAACAATCGGTCGTATGCTCACGCTTGCGTCCCCATCTTTCCAAGCGATGACACCCGTATTACGACCGCAGCGGCTCCGCGATCAGCGTCTTGATACGCTCCGTGATGTCCGTCTGGTCGTAGTTGCGGAGTAGGTTGATGCGGTTGCGGTTCGGGTCGCCCCCGTGCCAATACTCGTAAATCTCCTGCCGCATGCCGAAGGACGACGCGGCCAGGTCGTGGGCCAGGCGGAATAGCCGGGACTTGTACTCCACGCCGACGCCGCGACCGGGCATGTACCGGTCGAGATAAGGGCGAAACTCGGGGTTCGCCAGGTCGGCCTCGCTGGGTTGCATGATCATCCCGGATCCGGAAATCTCCCGCAACAGTTCCACCATGCGGGCTGACATCTGGGCGAAGTAGATGTTCATGCCTGAGGTCGAGCCGAGGGACATAAAGCCGTTATCAGCGGGAAAGGCGTTGTGCTCCACGCCGTCCATGGCGTGCCGCCACATCTCGGTGTGCATGGCCATCTCGCCCAGCTTGGCCGATACCTCCCGGTACTCGATCACGCCGATGGCCTCGGCGATAAGCGTTGCTACGGCGGTCATCAGCTTCATGCGTTGGTGGATGCGGCAGAGGTTGCTCCAACCCCGAAAGTTGGCCTCGGAGCCCAGGCGTTGCAGTAACGGGGCAGAGTCGTAGAGCATGAAAATCCGATCCCAGGGCACCAGCACATGGTCGAAGAACAGCATGGAGTCCTGCTCGTCGTAAACCGCCCCCAGGGGGTGGCCGTAGCTGCCAGGCCACTGTGACACCGGCTCTCGGCACAGTATCTTCATACCGGGCGTGTCCGTCGGAATCGAGAAGGCCAGGATGAAACGGGGATCGGAGCGACGCATGAACGTGGCCGATAGCGACACGTAGGTCTCGTTGCTGATCGGCGCGGCCGTGGCCAACTGCTTGGCGCCGTGGACGATGACGCCGTCCGCCGTTTCCTCGATTACGTGCAGGGCCACTTCCGTTTCACCGTCGCCGCGGGTCTCGTTCTGCGGTTGCTGGCTGCGGTCCACCTGCGGGTCGCCCAGCGCGTGGGTCAGGAAAAGGTCATTCTCCATGCAGTAGCGGTGGTAGTTGATGATGTTCTCGCCGAAGTCGCACTTGGGATGCTTCACCTGCCCCAGCGCGTCGCTGATGGCCACGAGGCTGATGATATGCGGCGCCAGGATGTCCGGGCTGCGGCCCAACTGACCCCAGGACTCCTCGTTCCAGATTTCGCTGTTGCGACGCTGCCGTTTCAGGTCCTCATGGCTGCGCGGCAGCAGCCATGACAGGCTGCACCGCTTTCCCGTCTCCGGCGACACGAAGGTCATTTCATCCCGGTATTGTTCGGAGTGCTGCAGGTCGTAAATGCGCGCCAGTTCGTGGACCATGCCCGTCATCGCCGGGTGTGTGGTTACGTCGGGAACCTTGTCCCCGTCCAGCCAGACCTCACGTCCGTCGCGGAGGCTCTCGATGTAGCGGGTGCCGGTCATGGCGCCGCGGGCCGTTTCGACTTTCAGTGCCATGTGTTCCTCCGGGGTCAGCCCATCACGTCCGGCCGTTGTAGACGTAATGCGGCGCGCCCATGGCCGGCGGGTGACTGCGATAGAACTGCTCCACGTAGGGCGTGAGCCGACCCGCCATCTGTCGGGTTGCCAGCGTCTCCGGTTCCAGCGGTCGCGCCAGTTGCTCGCGGAGTTCCCGAGCGACGTCGGCCTTGTTGGCGCGGGTGTGGACGCCGTCCCGCAGCAGTACCTCGCCATCGACTATCACCGCCGCGATGTCTTTGGACTTGGCCCGGCCCAGCACCAATTCCACCGGCGGCAGTTCCTGGTCAAGGTATGGGTCTTCTAGGCTGTCCAGTCGCACCAGCACCATGTCGGCGCGACGGCCTGGCTCCAGCACGCCGATTTCGTTGCCGAACCCGGTTGGCGCAGCGGCGTTGGCGGTCGCCATGGTCAGCACCTGGTCCACCGTTATGGCGGGCGAGTCAAGGCCCGGCTGCCGGTGCAGTTTGCTCACCAACCGCATCTCCTGGAGGAAGTCGTCATCGTCATTGATGGCGGTGCTGTCGGTTCCCATGGCCACATTGACGCCGCGGGCCAGCATGGGGTTCACCGGCGCGATGCCGTTCTTCAAACGCAGGTTGGAGCTGGCATTGTGCGCCACGGTGGAGCGAGCGTCGGCCAGGAGATCGATGTCCCGCTCGGTGAGCCAGACGGCGTGGGCAAAGGACACCTCCGGCCCCAGGAACTCCAGGTCCTGCAGGTGCTCCACCGGCGTCTTGCCCCACGTTCGGATGCCGTAGTCCTTTTGGTAAGGGCTTTCCACCAGGTGCATGTGGATGCCCGTCTGGTGCCTGGCCGCCTGCTCCTTGCTCCGCACCAGGAACTCGTCGGAATTCCACTGTACGTTGGCGGGGCTGAACAGCACTCGTACCTTGCCCGACGGATGGTTGTGATACTCCCCGACCATGCCATCACAGAAGGCGAAATAGTCGTCGTCGCTCATGTGGGCCACGGACAGGTAGCGGCGCACGTCGTCGGCGAGATCTGTCGGCAATCCGCCCAGGAACTCCCCGTCACCGGCATAGACGACCCGGTTCTGGTTGCGCATGTAGCTGGAAAAGGCCACCCGCATACCGGCGTCCAGGAACCCCCGCAGCACCGCGTCGACGTCCTCTTTCAGCGTTGCCGCCGCTGTCTGGGGGTGGTTGTACATCACCGTGGTCTGGCCGGATTCCAGCATGTTCAGGGCGGTGTACAGGGTCATCAGGTAGTGGTCGTAGGGACGGCGACCCCAGCCGGCCAGGATCCACACTTCCAGGCAGTCGTCACAGGTGCCCATCTGCAGGGTGGTGACGCCGCGCCCGTGGTGGTGGGTGTTCACCAGGCCGGGGATGATGGCGTAGTTCGGACCGCCCAGTTCAGTGTCCGCTTGATAGCGTTGCCGCAGTTCCTGATACGTGCCGACATCCTTGATGACGCCGTCCTCCTGGTACAACGCTCCGTCAGCCAAAGTAGCGACGCCGCCGGCGCTCCGGGGGCTGATGAGGTGTTTGCCGCGAATCAATGAGGAGGCCATGGTTCACTCCGTCAATCGGTTTGGGACTGGTACCAGTCGATGATTTCGGACCCCGTGGCCGGCCACACCCCGCCCTGCTCCATCATGTAGGCCCAGCGCCTCGTCCACGGCGCCCACCCGGAAGGGCTGGCCCACCAGCCACGGATGCCAGTTCAGCGCCATGAGCCGGCCGTGTGTTGCTCCGTCATCGTGCAGCACATCGAAGCTCTCGGTGAGCCGGCGCTGGTAGTCGGTCACGGTGACCTTGCGCTGGGCCAGGGACGCCACGTCGTCCAGTTCGTACAGCAACGGCAGGGAGAAGAAGGGGTTGTCCCCGGTGGTCATTGGG